CACAGATCTGAGGATTCAATCCTGATTCTCAGGATTTAAGTAACATTTCTCTACTGCTTTCTTTGCTCAGCCTACAACATTTTAAGATTTTTAGGAGATGTTGATCAACATGCCCTCTGTCAATAATTACTTATGAAACCTCCTAGGTTTCAAGGGGTAGATAGCAAAATGCTAATGTTACGCCACTATGGACTATACCTACATCAATACCCCACGTCTAAACCCACTGGCACAGCATGGCTTATATCCAACCAGTTCAACTTTCTTTCCCTTAGAATCATAGAATCATAGAATCACAAGGTTGGAAAAGACCTACAAGATCATCTAGTCCAACTGTCCTCCCACTACCATTGCTACCAACAAACTAAACCATACCTCACAGCTCCTCATCCAGGCAACTCTTGAACACTGCCAGGCACGGTGACTCCACCACCTCCCTGGGCGGCCATTGCAGTGCCTGACCACTCTGAGAGAAGAAGATCTTCCTTATGTCTAATCTATACCTCCTCTGGCGCAATTTGTGACCATTTCCCTGGTCCTGTTTGTTGCCTGGGAGAAGAGGCCAAACCCCTCCTCATCACAACCTCCCTTCAGGAAGTTGTAGAGTGCAATGAGGTCTCCCCTGAGCCTCCTCTTCTCCACACTAAACAATACCAGTTCCCTCAGCCACTCCTCATAAGAGGAATACTCCAGACCCCTCACCAGTTTAATTGCCCTTCCCTGGAATCGTTCCAGGGCCTCAATGTCTCTCTTGTATTGAGGGGCCCAAAACTGAACACAATACTCAAGGTGAGGCCTCAGCAGTGCTCTGTACTGGGGGATGATTACCTCCTTGCTCCTTCAAATGGGTTAACTCTACCCAAAGTGCCTACCGTCCCTCTGGGTACTTTGAGTACTGCCCCTGTCATACACCAACACCTTAACCACATCAAGATGCTCTCTGGCACAGCACTCACTGACTTGAGTCAAAACCAAGCCAGGAACTGGACCAACAATACAACATTACACACGAGGGCATAGCCCTGGTGCAACTGAACTTGCAAGAATTAATGCAAAAGAACTGACCTTTGCTTATGCCAATTCCCCATTTTCATTTTTAGCAAGGTGCAGAGTGTGGACATGGTGACCCCAAATGAAGAACCTGTCCACAGCCAAGCAGATGCACATCCAGTGGAGCTGGTACCTGTATGATGCCTTCACTACAGAATCACAGAATGGCCATGGTTGGAAGGGACCTCAAGGATCACGAATCTCCAATCCCCCTGCCACATGCAGGGCCACCAACCTCTCCATTTAATACTAGACCAGGCTGCCCAGGGCCCCATCCAATCTGGCCTTGAACACCTCCAGGGATGGGGCATCCACAACCTCTCTGGGCAGCTGTTCCAGCACCTCACCACTCTCATAGTAAAGAACTTTCCCCTGACATCCAACCTGAATCTTCCCTCCCTCAACTTAAAACCATTTCCCTTGTCCTGCTGTTATCTACCTGTTCAAAGAGTTGACTCCTTTCCTGTCTGTAGGCTCCCTTTAGGTACTGAAGGGCTGCAATGAGGTCACCCCACAGCTTTCTTTTCTCCAGGGTAAACAAGCCCAGCTCCCTCAGCCTGTCTTCATAGGGGAGGCGCTCCAGCCCCCTGATCATCTTTGTGGCTCTCCTCTGGACCCTCTCCAACAGCTCAAGACCCCAGGTCCTTATCTGCAGGGCTGCTCTCACGGATGTGGTGGGGGACCATGTCGAAGGCCTTGCTCAAGTCCAGGTAAATGACATCGGTCGTCTTTCTCTTGTCCACCGATGCTGCCACTCCATCATAGAAGGCCAGCAGATTGGTTAAGCATGAACTTCCTCTGGTGAAGCCGTGCTGGCTGTCTCAGATCACACGCTCATTCCTCATGTGATCAAGCATGTTGTCCAAGAGGATCTTTGTTCATGGCAAGGGCCTTCAGCTCACGTTCCTCACTGGCACAGAAAGGTTCTCTGTCACTGAGCGGCACCCTCAAGTTCTCTGGAGTATTTTTATGCTTATTCATTCCCTGGGAATATTTTAAAACAAGAGCATTAAACTCAGGGATGGCAGCCCATGTTTTCAGAGGTAGACTCCCCAGTAGTTAGTTCAAAGTAGCCTGATTTTTGATGCCTCAATTTGGAGTGAGTTCCTCAGCTTCTCACAAAATGAAGCCAGTTTAGATAGAGACCTAACTTTCGGAAACTGATTGGGAACATCACGATGTGACTTGAAACTGTAATGTGTTACAAAATTAGAGGGGTGATTTATGGGACAGCAGATCCTTCCTTTTGCGAGTTCCTGAGTCTCTGGTGCATTATATCCTTGTAATGAGTCAATAAAACAAGCCACAGCTACAGCACAATGAATGTCAGGAGACGCAATGGACAGCAGGTATTCCTAACGATTTAAGTCTATTAGCCTCCTGAACAAGCACCTGTACTTTTTTAAGTTTATGGTACTACACTGAATGAGGCAAGCAATTATTGGTATTTTAGCTGCACCTCTTGTGCTGCAGTGAGATCAATACTGTGTGCCACTGTCAACCCTGCTGGAGGAGAAGGGCTGGCAGAGCCATCATCTGGCCCAAGGGTAAGCACTGAAAGCAAAACATGCAGAAATCTTCCAGGACTCAAAGGCTCAGGTCAGCTAACTGCACACAGACTGTGCTTCATGGGGGGGGGGGGTGGCAGCAAAGCTTCACTTTCTGGCTGGATTAACTTTGCTTGAGATTGTTTGCAGAGCAGTCACACGTCCTGCCTCTGAACGGACAGAGGGGCTGAGAGCCACGCAAAATCCTTTCAGTTCACAGAGATCCATTCTCCTCCAAAGAAAAGTAGGGCAAGCCGAGGTGCAGGTTTGAAGGCCCAGCTGAAAGCGCTGAGCTTTTGTTATTTTGCAGACCAGTGCCTTTCAGTTATTATTTCTTATTTTATTTATAGCACGACTCCAAACTGAGTACATATTTTGCTGTGGGGTAAGTAAAAGACTAAAGAAGCGCCTCAGAAACCAGCCGGGGTCAAGCACAAACCCAGCGCTTCCCCAGCGTAGCTCGGAGGGGAAAGCTGCAGGGCTGCGTCACGGCTCTGGCCGTGCTCCCCTTCCCACAGGGAGGTGCCCGCAGAGCCGCACGCCCGCCCCCGCCACGAGGGAGAAGGCCGCGCGGGGGGCTTCGGGAGCAGCCGAGCTGCGCTGCCCGCCCAGGAACCCGCAGCCGCGTTCCCGCTCCGGCGGGCGCAGGCACGAAGACGTCTCCCTCTGCCGAGCCGCTGCCGCAAGTGCAGCTGGTGCATCCGGCCCAAGGTCCCGGCGAGCCGAGGGCTTTTTGCAGCCGCTCTGGAAGAGAAGCGCTGAGGGTGCTCAAATGTGTTGCCGCAGGACTAGGAAACAGCGAATATGAGCGGAAAGCGTTCTGCAAAACTGTATGTTTTGGTTTCATAGATACAAGGTTTTAGATTTTATGCACAAAATCAGCAGCGTCCACAGTGCACAAAAAACATACAAATGATTTAGTAAAATACACACTCTCAACTACCTAATTCACAACACTTATTACCTGTTGGCATCAACACAATCCAGGCTTCTCATTTTAGAAATCTCTCCAGGCAACAGCCATCGTTATGAATTGTTAGAACCGGCTGAGTGACTCAGCATCCAGACTGAGTTGGCCAGTTCTGCATTGCCCCCATACTATCAGTGCGAGCACGAGAAAAAAAAACACAACTGGGGCACAACTGTTCTATAGGCTTCTTTAAGAGTCAATTAAATACTTAATTTACACTTTATTCATATTATTTTCCCATCTAACAACACGAAAGCAGCAATAAAACCACTGGAAACCATGAAAAGGAATAGAACGAGGCAACCTGGAGTCCTGTTATATCTGAAGGCAATCAGTCATCTCAGTACCCTATCTTCATGCATGCTACTGGTGAAGTCCCAGAACTCCAGCAATACTCCAGCTGAATTTCCCTGGGCAAGGACACAGCCTGACAAAATGCCTCACACCTGATTTGCAGCATTAACCTTGTTTCAGTGTGCTAAATTATCTGGATGATAGCAACACAAGTGCTGATAGGCCCCTTGGGGAAAATAATAGAGTCTTCATTTTTGCTAAGGTCAGTGAGAAGACTGGAGATAGAACGATACCTCATCTTGACTTGTTTTTCTGTGCATCTCTTTTATAAGTGATGTGACAAGGAAGTACTTATTCTTTTACCTTAGCCAGATTTCTGGTGAATAAATCAGATTCATTAAGAGAAAGCAGATACATAAATAGACATACACTCACCATAAACAGCGCTTGAATTTATCCACAGTCTATCTACAAATGGTATTTAAGAACATCAATTGTCAAAAAAGTTTCCAAGTTTCCATCTGCAACACAGCTGCTGCAGTGTTAAGGCTAATACATGTGGGGAAGAGAATAACGAAAGGGCAAAGATACTGATGGAGTCTTTGAAACTGCACCACTGATTAGGTTCTGTGAAAGTCACTCAAGCAAGTGTGAGAGATGCACTGCTAGGAAAATCACCTTTTGCACTGGCACAACAGAAAAGTAAGGGAAAATGTTTTCAGTGATGACAGGCAATTATGCAAAGGTGAGTGGAAGCAGCTTCTGATTTCTTCATTAGCTGAAACTTACACCTTATGATACATTTCTGTATCTGAAGAAAGATAGCTACAAATCCAGTGCTTATGCTAATTCCTACTCTTTTTTTTTTTTTTTTCTTCCCATTTTCCATGAGAGGTGTTTTTAAAGGAATGTGTACAACACTGTGACGTACAAGTTTGGATTCCCTTGTCTACTCAGGTGGGAGGTTCAACTTCTATGGTTCTATCTTCTGCCAACCACTTTCTCCAGAACCAATTCAACTTCTAGCTGCAGTGCAAAAACGCTTAAAAAACTGAAGAGTTGGAGCTGACTGGCTACCATATGGACAAAGCAGAGATGAGGAAAGATAAATTGATAGATTTTTTTCCATTTTCCCCTTAGGCGGTTTATACTTTCTGTATTTTTGAAGCAGTCCTAATGATGCCACCGCCGATAGCTTTGACTGCTTGTAGCTGATGTCTTCTTCTAATATATTTTCCACCTGTAAAACGTCCAGTTAGTTTTTGCCCTTAGGGAGAACTGCTGGGCAGAGGCACCCATGTTTAAGGAAAGAGTGAACATCCTGACCTGACACAACGGGCCCTCACCACACTCATACCTGTGCCTTTGCTTAGTCTCAGATTAACCTGCTAGCTGCTGAACTGCCAATCCTAAGCACATTCTTACTAAGGTCCTCAGTCCTACCTCAACCATGTGCACACCCCACATCTTCTCTGTTATCTCAGCTTACAACATCTTCAAAGCATCTTTCCTTTATGCTACTGCATTGCTTTCCATCTTTGTTCTCCTTTGAGATGGATACTACAAAATTATTTTTTTTTTTTTTTTTTTTTTTTTTTTTTTTTTTTCTGCAAATAACAAGAATAATTAAGTCATTGAAACATTACCTGAACATTGTTAGGGCTGCATTCATTTCTTGAATCATGGAAAGAAGAGCTCCAGAAGTGAGATTTCTCTAATTCTGCAAGCTGCTGTGTGATTATGCAAAGCTATTCTCTTATGTTTTCTGCCAGACAAAATATGTAGACACTTTTCTTGCCTTTTGGAGAGGAATTGCTGTGCATGTGCATAAATGCTGTATCTCTTCCTTGAATTAAAATGAGACCTTACATAGCTGGTAAACTGCACGTTGCTGGGGTGAGCAGACTGGAAACTCAGCACTGAGCCTCATTTCACAGCACATCATTGCTTGTCTCAGCAGTGAGGCATCCTGTAACGGACTTGGTCTGGTTTTTCGTCTGTAACTCATCGTGTAAATGCCAGCCAAATTAAAGCAAAGCAGATGGGACCAGTCATTTGAAGATTAATGAAGCTACTTGCATTATAAAGTAACTTGAATATATGTATTTTAATGAAAAAGGATCCTCTCTGGTTCCTAATAGCTGGTCAAGAGAAAAGGATCAAGCAGTGAAAATAGCTGAAGCTTAGCAGAACACACCTACAAAGAGTTATTAAAGTGATTAACTCGTTACAAAGTTAATCCCCATTAAAAGGAATTATCAGTCAGGGACTGATAATCAGTCGTTTCTTTTTCAGGTGCCTACATGACTTTTTGAATGCCACCATTTTTTTTAAAACACTGAAGTAAAGCAAGCAAATGTGGAAGAAATCATCGGGGATTAATCACCATCACGTTGAGAGGCTTTCATTCATCTGTGGCATTCACAGTCTCCTCTGAAACTTTCCAGAACTTTAGCTGAATGGAAGTTACTGAATGTTTTCCTCTGTATGATGGCTATGGAGGAGAACAGGATATCAGAAATTAGTACAGCAAACAATTCTTTTTTGTTTTACCTCTTCAAAATGAAGCAAGCCCCTAAAGAGGTCCCTGAATGTGTTCCCCTGCCTTGTAGAATCACTGGTTATCTTTAACCAAAATTAAAGCCAATCACAAAGAATAACTACAAAATATTTCCAGTGCTGCCCTAAGCTCTGAGCTCACCATGGCTCTCAGTCTGCACAGCTGATCCATACATCACTGTGCTGACTCCTCAAACTGCTTCCTCTTGTGCAGCCCTCAGGAATGAGCAGTTGCTAAAAGCCTGTCCAGCAGCTTTTTAATCAGAGATTAGAAGGAGCTTTGTGTTGGTTCATTAGCTGCAGGTGCTGAAGGCACATACAGCTGTGGCTATTGCCATACCCTTCCTCAGGAGTAGGACCTGGCATTTCAGAGAAGTACACGACTCTTTAAGTCATTAGACAAATCAACTGCAATGTTGAGAGATCAGTGTAGATATCTGGGCTGTTCTTTATATATAGACTGTACCACGAACAAAAATTGTAAGCTGAAGAAGTAACAAACTCAAGATTTCTAAGGGATGATTTTTTCTAAGTAGCATTAGAAGGAAGTTTTTAACAAGAAACAAAGGAAGTGTTTTTTTAACAAAAAAGCAATGAAACATAAGCCCACCCTTCTGTGTCTCAAAGCCAAGGAGCTCTGACTTGAAGTCAGATAGATAGTGAAGTATCATTCCACGCAGCCATTTCTCTATTGCACTTCTAAAAAGAACATAATCTGGAAAGATCAAGCAATCATACCTTGATCCTGTAAAGGCCTTGACCCCATGTTTCAGTCTCTTGCTGAAGTCCTTTTCTGAGTAAGAAAGAAAATAATTTAAAGCTTGTTCTTATGCCTCTACTGAATCCAGCACTGAAGGTCGAGGAGAGCATAAACAGGAGCAACTGCCCATATTCCAGAGATTTTTAATTTTATTTATCTTTCTACAGGAAACCTAGGTGTAACAATCAAAAAGACCAATGCAGTGGAACAGTGACACAGGAGATACAACACCTTTCTATCACTCCAGGCCCTTTGTTATTACAAAGGAAAGGTACTCACCCATCTCCAAAGACCTAGGCTCACAGAGAAAACTCCACAAAGGAAGAACCTCCAACTACACACCCTTCCCCAATTTCTGTCAGCCCTTAAACCAGGTCTAAGAGAGGTGCAGCCAGGCTCCACCTCTTCTGGTCACACAGCTGAATTGCCTTCACCTGTGTTCCCAGGGTTAACTGGGTCCTTTCCCCACAAGTACAATCAGAGGTTCAGGCTATGACTCAACAGTTCCCATACACTAGGGGAAATGCAGATGCTTGATGAAATATGACATATAGAAATATGAGTGCCATCTGTAAAAATAGAACTTGAACTACTGTACTGAATACAGGCAGCAAGTTCCTTTGATATAAGGGCTAATTTCACAAAACTGTGGTACTTAAAAGCAGTCTTCCTGCAGAGGGTAAAGCGACAAAAGTACTTTATCCCTGTATGAGCACAGTTTGACTTTAGGACAACTTATGCTAAAAATGAGAGGCAAAAAAACCCTCATTTTATACACATCTGATATTTTTTCTTGTCTTCCTTACAGTAAAGTGCTAAACACGATGGCTTCTTGTATTATTCCAGAGAGTTTCTTTGAAATACAGGCGTGTTTTGTTGTAATTTTTGTTCTCATCTACCCACTGACTCAGCCTGCAGTGTAGTGCACGATGTAAGCTGTTGTGTTGATGTAAAACTGAGCTTTTAGAAATTCCATTCATTGCCTGTTTCTGGGTCCAGTGTATATGAACTCTTTGGCACAATCTGGACAAGGCCAAATGTCTTCCTGGCTCCACTACAGAATATGTGGATTTTTTGTTGTTGGCTTTTTTGTTTGGTTGGTTGTTTTTTGTTTGTTTGTATCTTTGTTTTTGTTTTTGTTTTTCTGGACTATCCACAGGGATTTAATAAAACCACAACTGTGCTTTTCTTAAAACACTGCATGCTCCATAGTACATGCAATTAAACGGTGTGACCTTTTAATCATCATACCCACATCATTGAATAGACAAATAAGCCAACAGAGACACAGCAGATTCTGACTATGCCACATTATTCTTTATAATGAGGAAATTATGAAGCTTAGAATTGTGAATAACAGCAGAATTACTAGATTTGTTAATACAGATCTGAGTACACTGTGTCTGAGTTCAAGTCAGTTTATAACTGTTGTGATCATGCAGATTATTAGCTGCATTTTTTGACATTTAGATGTCAATTATGCTGGCTTCTGGAATTGGACTGATTTTTACAACAGAATGTCATTATAGCACTTGCAGTGACATCAAGAACAGAACTTCAGCTTGATCTTCCTCTACAGAAGCTCATTAGAGATTCACATAAGAAGACAACCAACACGTGCTATTGCCATGGAAACAAGTTGGAATATTATGAAGCAGTATAGCCCATATTCCAAAATAGAGAGGACAAAGTCAGAGCAATTATAGCACAAGACTGACAGGCTTTTTATTTGCAGCCTGTATGGGTCAAAGCAAAACCTAACTCCTGCTCTTTGAAATAAACATCATCAGTGCAGCTTTAGGATTCTGGTTTCTGTCCTTTATTTGCAAACACAAAAACAATCCAGTGAGTTTAGTTTATGTTTTACGGGAGGGAGGAGGCCAAATGAAGGAAGAAGCATCACAGCAGGTGTGTAGGTGTGGCAGTGTACAAAGAACAGACATCACAGACTGATAAGAGAAATGAGTCAAGTTCAAGTCAAGCAGTGAGGTTCTAATAAAACGGAGGTGAGCAAGACCAGCAGAAGCTGAACCTCTGGTGTGTCATTACGATTCAGAAGAAAGACTAGTTTCAAATGTGATGGCTACCCAGTATCAGTGGCCAGGACACAAAGGGTAACATTCCTTGTGATCTGTATTAAATAGGTGACTCACAGTCTCCAGTGTTGCCTAGATAGTGGAATGGACATATTGTATGTATACGACATGTAGGCAGTCTAGCTTCCCAGGCGTCTGCATGTGAATACGAAGACAGAGAGTTCTTTAAGCCATTTATAACAGCTCCGTCTGGACGAGTTTTCAGTGTTGTAAGAGCTCTAATCATTTTCTCTGAGTATGGAGTGCCAGCTATTGCACATGTACTTTTTTTTGTTTGTTGACAGTACTAAAAAGTTTAAGAATTCTGAGCAGAAGTATTTTATCCTTCATGCAAAAAGCCCGTGATTGCCACTTCATTCACATACAGGTTATACTTTTAAGAAACACTTAAGTTTCAGCTGAGCAATCACTTCTCCAAAGACACTGTAGGGAAAAATAAAGCTTAGGAAAGAGAGTAACAGGATTTTAGGGAGCATTCGAGAAGCCTTGAATGATTGTGCCATGAGTTTTCCACTACAGAGAGTTACTGTGAGATTCAAAATCACTTATCAGAATGACGCCACATGTGAATGAGAACAAATACTATGGTACAGGGATAGTCCGTGTCTATTAAAGCAGGCTTTGGGAAGCCTTCTAATGACTGCATATGACATATGTGGTATGCTGCTATTTAATTAATGACTTAAAAAACTGATAGGTTACATTCACTGTAACAACTCCGGCTTGTTTTTGACTGGATTGGCTGGAAAAAAGCAGGATAAGAACATGATTGTGGGAGAAAATGGAATACAGTATAGATATCTGTTGCAAAATTTTATTTCCAGTAAAATGTACAAAAGTTAATAGCAATGAGTACCACTTACGAAAAGCAAAATATCAGATACTGTGTTAAAAGAATTCTAGATCAATTTTTTTTGGTAGAGCCAAGCAGACAGATATAATGTCATACACTTGACACAAACACTGGAAAATAGTAATTAGTCTTTTTAATCTTGGCATATAAATTTAATTTCCCAAACAGTTGAGTTAAATTCTGTAGTACTTCCTACTGCTTTCTTTTCCCCAAACCTTTTCCTTGCTTTTTTTGGCGTGCATCTTGGCTTTTCTTCTCTTGCTCTGTTTGCAGCATTGCTTCATGAGCTGCCAGCTCTTCACGTTTTCTGAGTTCAGCCTTTAACAGCTTGCTTCTGTATGCTTCCCGAATGCTGTGAACTCTGCCTCGCATTTCATCTAAGGATGCCTAGGTAGGCAGAAACAAAAAGCAACATCCTCACTCTAACGCATGAAACTGTGTTTCATCACAAGCAACTGCATCATTGAGGTTGTATTTCACTGTCTGACAATATAAGTACAGGTAAGGCACATCTCCTTTCCCTTGGAGTTGGTCATGCATTTTTATTGATCTCTCATGGAGACATAGATATGTGTCAGTCTTTTCACCATGAAGGAAAAAACAAAGTTCATGAAAATTCTTTTTAAATTGCTGGCTGAATAAAATAATTGTGGGCAAGGAGAATAGGGCAACATAGTTACCCATTTGGATCAAGTATAATTTTCAGAAGTACTCAAATGGTTTAGGAGATCGCATCTCATTTTCAAGAGACTCAAGGAGCCTAAATCACACTGACCTTCAATGAGACTTAGGCCAAATGAGACTTGGACACACAATTTTTTTTTAATGTTTCCATCCTGGGAAATGGGGATACCTGAAGACATTTAACATAATTTTCTGCAGTCTACAGGTGAAAAAACTGTAAAAGTACTAATTAGCACAGTATGCATATTCACAAGTAACTCACATTTTAAATTACTACTGTGAAAGATTGTAAATGCGTTTTCTAGGGAAAGCTGAGAAATTACTTAAGAAATATTTGCCTATAACATATGTTAGGCATCCAAAATTACAGCAACATCTGAAAACTTGGACATGTTATTATCAAGGATTAGGGATCAGTCAGTCACTGGTAGAGGACTATGGCTCCTTTCAGGCTTGTAGCTAAGTATTACAAATGAAGCCGGGTGTTTGTTCAGGAGGCATTTTCAAGTTATTTCTGTTAAGAAGTTGATTAAATCCAGAATTATTTTTACTGTTTACAATTTTATGGGTTCCACAGAGTTACTAGACCATTTTTAGTAGTAATTGTATCACCTCTATGTGACAAAACATTTTGCTCCTGTCAACAATCTAAGGTTAAGCCAATTTTGTTAGGATATTTGTACCATGTATGATGCATTGATCAAATTAATCTTAAAAATGGTGCCTTCACTAATGATACCAGAATATCGTGTCTGTTGGTATCATGCATATTCCAAGAAGGCTCTATTATCCAACTTTGCTGTAGGACATACAAGGAGAAGCTCACTCTCTTACATAATTATCTTTTTTTTTTTTTAAATTACTTTTCCAAACCTCACAATTCCATAACAAAAACCAACCAAACAACAGCAACCACCACCAACCAAAGGAGAGCACTAATCATATTATAAAACACTCAATTTATTCTCACTTTAAACAATACTATTATGGTGACAGTCTTAAAATTACACATTTGCAAGGAACTATAACAAGAACATACTACAAATATTTAGAACATTGTATAGTATATTAATATATTTTTTTTCTTCAAGGCTTTAGTTTTAACCACTGTTCAAGTTAAAGCTTGTATACTGATTCTAATTACTGATACCAGATACAAATGTTTAAAGAATTGTTGATCAAGATATTCATGATAGTGGTGGATATTACAGGAACAGTTACTGGAACGTAATCTGGAAAACTCACCTGTAGATTTTCATACATTTCAAGCAAATTTTGCTTCAACAAAGCTCTAGCATGTTGATCCATTTCTCTTTGTTCCAAAGCCAGTTCTCGAAGTTGCCTAAAATGGTTAATTTTTTCCAATTTGCATTTCTCTTGCTGTTGAATTATAGATTCATTTCTTAACACGGATTCAGACGTTGTTTTTCTGAAGGAAATAGAAAGATATTTGTCTCATTTCAAGTACAATTTCAGATGGTTTATATTTACCTATATGCATATATTTGGTTTATATCAAGCAAAGTAGGCCTTGTACAGTTCAATATGATTAAGGGATCACTTTTCCTTTCTTGTACATAACACTGATGAGGAAATATATTGCTGAGGCCAGGTCTTCTTATACTTGAATGTCTACTTTAAAATATTGGTAAAATCATGCTCATCTTTGAGCATATGAAAAACTCCTACATGTGACACTTATTTTTAATTTGCAAGAAATATCTTAGTTCAAGATGTTTTAGATATTATAATTTAGCACTAAGACAGATGTATTTTTTTTCCATGGGCATAATGGCAGTTAAGTGGATAATATTTTGCAGTAATTTGACTCAAATGACTCGTGTTACAGTGGAGGAGCTGAAGAAAAATTAAATTCTTCCAAAACTCGAGCCCATGGAAGATATTTTGACATATTTTCTGATCTTCTAGTGTTATTAATTTCAATATAACACCATTGTCCCTTTAAATTAAAAACTGAACTTGAGGAATTTTTCAGCACATTCTGAAGTCTTTTAAGAATGAGTGAGTTGCATAAATGCCACACTGAATACAGATGGACTTAAGCTTGAACTGGGTTCTGTCTGCAGAACAGCAAACATACAGGTATATGCTTATGAGGTAGATCCTGACACATGCAATAAAGAAAGTATTTATTTTGAATAAGGAATATACTTTTTCAGTTATTGAATAAATTGCATTTGTTAAATATCTTATTAGAATATATCATCATATAATGACAAACTTCATACGTACTCCTTTCAAGATAACCACTGAAATAAACATATTTGGCTGCATATGCGTTTCCTTAAGGATTTTATGTCACATTTTCATTACAGCAAAACAACTCCTTTAACTTGTGTAACCTTAAAGAAGAGGCATAAATTATAACAGGATGTAGGAAAGCAGAGATTTAAAAAAACCTATGTCAGGTAAATCAAAGTGGAAAACGACCAGGATGCCATCTACACTCACTACTACATGATTCTTTGTATACAGCATAAAGGACAGACAAAACGCAGACTGGATTTTCACAAAAGACATTAACAAGAATGTGACAGCATTGTTGCTTATGCCAATGACATGTGAGGGACAAAGTCTAAATTCACATCTATTACATTGTATTCAAATATGAAGATATTGTTTATAAATACATCGCATTTACTAATTTCTATATATTGAAACCCTTAGTCAGCCTTTCAATTTGGCATCTCTGAGCCATTAATTTTTCCTTGATACAGGGTACCTCATGTAAGGACTAAGATCTATAGGCTCCCACTTTTTTTGCTCCATTGGTAAACTTGAGTCAATTGCTGTTTGTGATGCTGTCTTTTCCACAGTAAGAGAAAAAGAACCTACAACAAAAGAGATTCAATTGGTTACTCAGTATGCCAGGAGGGTCCACCTAAATTGTAACACAGTCATTTTTCTCTTTTGGCTCAGCAAAATATCTTACTAAATGAGAACATGGATTGGACATGTTTTTTACTTCTAACACTTATAATAGACTCAAAGATACTGGAAAAAAAAAAACAACTACATGTGCTAGAGTGAAGCTTGTATTTGTACTTTAGATAAATCAACACAACACATGAGCGACTAAGACAGAATTATCAATTTTAAATGCCTAAAGAATAAATTTTAATCAGCATGGAATCACATTATTTTATAAACAACAACAATAACAAAAAAATCTATAAAAATTGGATCACTCCTGTCTACAATTCAAAGAAACTGTATTTTCTTTTGGGCATATGTTTTGTTTGGGAATTGCCAATCTCCAAAAAAAAGTCCCATGAAAATTTGTCAGTCTTCTTCTTAGGATGATTTAACCACATGGATGGTAACTGATTTATATTTTAATGCAGACTTCTCAAAACACAGTGACACATTTGATACTAAGCATGCCATGGAGTTGCATTGGGATTGTTCCAGCACTTTTGTTTTCCAGTTCACCTGGCCATATCAGAAAAGCCTGTGAAATTTGGTGAGATTTTATGATGCCTGAAGTAGATTATACCATGAAAACTCTTATTACTCTATTAATTGTAGTAATCAATTGAAACAACTACAAATCATTTAAAAGATATTTCTGTACTAATGACCACTGCTTCAAAATCTGAAATTAAATGAGTATTTCCCACTGAACTTCCAGAAATGTCAGCTTAGCTTAGGGTTGGAATTCTAGTGTGAAAGGACTGCCTAAACTTGGCTTAAGGGTAACTTAGCAGCCTCTGAGGGCTATGAGGCTGTATCTGTGTCTGAGGCTGGAACAATGCAGCAATTAAAACAGAGGGTATAAAGAAGGCAGAGACTAAGCATGTAATTGTGGATTTGGACTTCATTATTGAGGCTGCTCTTTCCATTTACTAACAGTATTTAATGCAAATGCCTTTATTAAAAAACTGAATGATTTATGCAGAATGCTTTAAATTATATTTAATTTCACATTAAAACACTGGTTGTGATATGTATACAGTGCATTTGAGACCTCATAGTAGGAAATCCTGTATCATGGACTTTGTTTTTCTTTTTTTAAAGTGATTAATATCCCTTTATATTTTAAAATTATAATGCTCAGAAGGAAGATGACATGCTGAAAGTTACACCCTTACCTCTTTCTTCTGATTTGGATGATAAAGTGGCAATGTCCATCCCAGCTATGGGCTCCACAGAATCTTTCGCAACATACTTATTAATAAATTGCATGCGTTCCTGAAAAGCCTACAGATCAAATTTTTAATTGAATACTTTAATTCCAAACCATTTTCTGAAGTAGGAATCTTTAAGTGATCAATGGTGCAGTAAATCTCTGAACCCAGCACATGTTGAGATATGATGCTACTTTATTATTGCTAGTGAGTACACTTCACTGGTTGGATCTATGACTCTATGATCTATGGAAACATCACTTTCAACAATATGAATAGCATTAGTGAGACAACAGATAGAAAAAAAAAAAAAGATAAACACAAGAGGACTGTGCTTCGTGTCAGTCATATTCAAGTCATCACTGCAGTAGATTTTTTTTCTGAAATAATGACCTGTAAACATTAACCATCTAATTTTTCCAGCTATAGATAGTAGGTATCCCAAATGATAAAACGATGCTGTCAGTAACAAACCTAACACCAAAATGCACTATACAACTCTGCCTGAGGCAGGAATTAGAAAGGATGCTAGAGTTCCCATTACAAGAGGCTTCGAATACATACATTAAAGATCACCATGAACTACTGGAAAAGCCTTTATCTCTCAGTAGTTTAAAATAATGTTTGGATTTTTAAAAATAAAACTCTGAAAGTAGGGTCTGTTCCCTCATAGCTGAATAGAGGTTCAGAACTCCTCTCACTGCATCTCCTTAGGGAGCTAGCGCTTCCTCCTAAGAGCTCCTGGTGACTTGGACTTCCTCCTGAGGAATGGAAGCTATGGGTGCAAACCCTTTCAGGCTGAATTGCTTCTGATGCTTAAATACAGACATCACCACTCTGCTTGTCCTTTCAGATGGTGATTTGGGCTCACTGGGCTTTCTTCTAAGGGTTCAGATTGTCAGAATGGGCAGAGGAGCCAAATGTTACCCTGGAACTAGGGAACCAATTCCCAGAGTGATCAGGTGTGTGATGTAGGAGACAAGCGATCAGGAGGAACAGAGAAGGGAAGCTACTTAGAACAGCAGACCCTCAAGTTAAACCTTTTTTCATTGTATTAGATGAAGTTGCCAAAATTTTCTTAGCAACTACTTTGGAATAGTATTATAGACCTAAGAGGCTACTAAAATAGAAACCTTTAGCTGTAATTAAGTTGATTTTCAGAGTAAATAAAAGGCAGTGAAGATAGAACCACTATTCTGGAGAGACTGTGCACATCAAAGGGGAGACATTTCCAGCTCATCTTCAGGAAGCTGAAGATTTTCAGTCTCAGCACAGCCAACCAAATCTGCAGAGTAATGCATCTCTTCTTAGATCAGAATGTATAAAGTAATTTTGGAATGTTTTATGAACTTTGGATATGCTGAAAATAAATGAGAAAGTTTGCAAGCATAGCTAGGGAAGACTCATGACTGAGGCTTCACTTCTCAGAGCTAGATACCTTTAACACTGTTGTGCCAAAGGAGCCAACTTGCATTTGACGCATTTGAACTAGTACTGCTTCTCTAAACAGTGAATTCATACAGAGCAGTATATACTGGCTCACAGGTACCTGCAACTTGGAATGAATTTGGGAATTTTAAATGTAGGAGACAATTAGATTGATGATGTGACCAAGTGCCAGTTTATCTTTCTGTTACATTTATAAAAGCGTATTTCTTATTACATTCTCATTATGTTCAGCTTGCCACAAGTGACAGCTTTGCAGTTGTGTAGAGGCAGTGGGTGTTGTAAAGAGAAACATTTTCTGTTCAGTAAATAGAACCTTAAAGTCTCAGTAATCTCAAGAAATCTGAAGTAGACAGTGTAGATTCCTGCCCACAAGTCATGCACTTTTGATTCTTTAGGCTGTGTAAAATTCCCTGTCATCCACAAAATGATGAAGAGAAGAGTCATATGAACTCGTTTCTCTGTTGTGAAAACTGCTCTGTTATCACAACAGCTCCTGCAACTTGTGAAGACACATTAGCATGCAGATTGCACTTTGATTACCTTGACAGCTCTTCCTGGCTCTGCAGACTCCCATGCTTGCTTCATGGCTTTGATCTCATCTGCTCGCTGTGTGTCTCTCTTCACCTCCAGAATTTCCATCTCTCTCTGCTCACTAACGAGACGTAAAGTCCAGTATGGCTTGTTTATAGCATCTTGCTGAAAGTGGAAGTACCATGGACATGATTATTGGTATTTATTGGTATTCACCTATGACCACTATTTAAGACTAAGCTTTGTACTCTGGTAATTTTCATTACTGGCAGACATTATACATCAATAGAATTTGTCATGCATTGCTAGACAACAACTGACTGCCAAAGGAAAGGAAAGGAAAATTTCTCTGGAATATTCCAAACTTCAAGATCTTTTGTATACTTCTTTTCCCCTCTACCCATACCCGATACAGCATGCTCTACACTCCAAGCTCTTCTCAACTGTCCGAATAAGAGTATTTGCAGCAATTTTATTCATGCAGTTATCTCTCTGTCAAGCTTTTTTTCTTTTTCCTTCCCTTTCTTTACTTCCAATTGCTTTTCTTTTTTTCTTGCCAGAAGTCTTATTATTTTTAACCAGAATTTTTGTGTAGAGAAACATCTTGTTCTGTCTTCTCTAACATCAGGTTCTTTCCATTCACTTCCCAAATTCTATAAATTACTTTGATGTGTGGTTTCTCCAGAATTATAGGATACAAGTAGTACTCAAAGGGTAGGAGACTGTCCTGCTGCCTGGCCAATGAATGAAATATTGTGCTTTTCATGCTTTTGGAAAGTGTAGTATCTCTAGAAGCTTGAAGCCCAAGGCTTAGAAGAAGAGATGAATTGCTCAGCTTTGATTTGAGACTAAAAACAGGCATCTTCATAATATGCAGGCAGTATCCTCTTGAAACTTGCTCCTGTTTTGGCAACAAACTGAAGAACTCATGCAAGCTATCTTCCCAGCACCTGTAGCATAGCCCATCACTGGAGCTGAAGGCAGAAATCTGACACAGCCTGAAGTTGTATGACATTTTCATGGCCAGCTTTCTCAAATGCAGCCACTCTGACTGCTCTGCCAGAAGGGTTAAGGCACTGTTCCTGAAATGTGTATAATTAGGTGTGGATGTGAATCACAGAGAAGCTTGCTGTTCAACAACTTAATCAACAAAACAATACAGTGGAGATTTCTTCATGAAAAAATCTATGGAAATGCCCTCTTCATGAACTACTTCCCGTGAACCAGGAAAAATAAAAAACAACCATGAGGACCTGTAAATTTCTTTGCCTTTCATTAATCTCTTTGCAATCCATAAAGTCAATTACTCCTTTAAAAGCTGGTCAACCACAGCACAATCAGATCACCCTACCACAAAGTGATGAATTTGCAAGTAGGCAAGTAAATATCAATTTTTATGCCACAATATATCCACAAAATAATGGCAATTGGAAAGACCTATTTTATTTCTCTGATGATTCTGTGAAAACCAGTACAACCGACTCCAATTGGACATAAATATGGCAAGTTAATGGAATTTAACAAACAGAGATTAGAGACAGAAAATAAACATCCAAAAGAAACACTCCGTGGTTGCTTTATACATTAGCAAAGTAATGAGCACATCTCTAATGTAGGATATAGGTCTTTTGCATGTGTCATTCAATCATCCTCAGGTGCGGAACATGAAGGTGATGAAGCAGGGCATAGAGAAACACAGGAAATACACTAAAAGTGCTAGTAATTCTGATCTGCAGAAGCTTTTACACTTAGTACAATGATTTCACATTCAACAAATCCAAGTTTTTAGATTTTTCTCACCTGAAATTCAGGTTGAAGTGCAAGAGACATAAGTGATCCTTTTTCTTTATTGGACTTCTCCCTTTCTGACTTTTCAGTTGCTTTATCTTTCGATTTTTTGGTTGATTTTGGAATACTTGCAGACCTTTGTCCTTCAAAATGATTGAGCTTTAGGAGAAAACTGTGGTCCTCAAGCTTTTGCCCAGGTGCTGTTCACACATATTTATGATGCACGATGAATTAGAAGATACCATTGTCATCCATAAGTGTATTAACCCATGTAATATCCAGGATATAACAGCACAAAACAGCCACAGGAAAGACAAAGAAAAGTCATGTAATTAGTTGACACTGTTAAGTACTACACCAATATTAATTGTTGGAGCAAGAAAGAATCTGGAGACAATAAAGCTTTTGAAAGCAGGCTTATGGAAGTAGACTTATTACAACAGCTTCCCTTGTCCTTAATAGCATTTTACCCAGGAATTAATTATTGGTTTACCATGGTTCATGCATATCAATAACTGCCCTATTGTTCTGTGTATAAATCAGCCCAAAGAGGAGAATGATATTCTGTAGCTAGCAATCTGATTATTAGTTTTCTTACACAGTCTCTGTCACAAAGGTGAAAAGCTCGAAGTAAGTAAAGTCAATGTTCTCACTGCCTCATGTCCCTGTAAGCCTGAAAAACTGAAGAGCAGAACACACACACACGAAAAAAAATTGAAAAATGTAAGGAAATTAAGGCAACAAAACATATTCAAGACTCAGTGCATACCTGGGAAAATCAAAACAATCATTCTCGGATCAATCAGAGAAATTTTTTAAATTAATTTTTATTAATTACTTAATCAGTACATGCATATGCTGTATGTATTATCTTCGTTAAATTGCATAGTTGATAGCTAACATACCACTTTCATTCTTCACTGTCTTAGATGGTAGGAACCATTAACAAGCTTTTTTTCATGCAGCGTTCTTTTTATAAAAATAAAAAAGAATAAGTAAAGCCTGCAATAGCAAACAGCTTTAATAGCATGGGAACACAGCAAATGAAACAAGCTGGACTGGATTCACAACAGTACAGGATTAAAGATCAGATTCTGAAATCTCTATTTCACTTCACCTTCATGCTGCTTGAAACATTAAAACAAATGCTGAAAAGTGGGATTTGATCAATGCAATCAAACAGGCAATTTCTCTTGGAATAAAAGAGGAAATGAGTCTGAAGATAATAATGAGGTATCTTTCACTTAATGCTGTGTTTCTAACCTCTTTCCACTGAGGAAAGATCACTGTGCTGCTTGATTTGATCAAAAGTCCGCTGAAGATAATCCACTGGCTTTAATGAGATTTGGATCAGATATTCAATGTCAGGGTTATACGAAAATATAAAATGGTAAATTTAAAAGATATACAAGCAAATTAATAATACACTTATACTAACTACATGCACAAATACATATGATATATACGTATATCATATCATACATTATACACATGTTTATGTATACTTTACATTCTTACCTCCTTATGCTACTTATATAACATGCAATGGTACCAAAGAGCTATGTTTAAATTCATTCAGTGCAACCAAAACATACAATAAAGAATGAAAGCAAAAATTAAAGCAGTCTCCCCAAGTACTGAAAATAATAAAACATCTCCAGAAAAAATGCAAATATAAAATAAATACTGATGGCATTATCTGAAGTTATAATACCATTATATAAAAACCTTTCCATTTAATTTCACACTGCCATAACATATTAGGAGACAAAGACTATCTGTGTAAAGAGATGCTACAAACTTTGGCTTCTATAAAGATTTTGTAACTGACTTTTAAAATTTTGCTGTTCTAGACTTCCATACATTGAGGAGTTATTAAATAAATAACATGGGAACAGATGAAACAACAGGGATAAAATGATAAAATGCCAATTTCTTAGTTAATGCCTTTTTAATGTTTTGTTTACACAAAGTGTTATTTAATAAAACATATTATGAGATATCATATACAAAAATTGTGATTAAATATTAGTAATGAAATAACATTGCAAGCATTTTGTCTTACAAATACTGTCAAACAGCAATATTAAGGGTTTATGAAAAAAGAAAAAGGAGAAGCATCAATAAAGAAAAAATACAAAACTATTATTGGATAACTTAATTTCTACCAATTTTTTTTTAATAATTACTTGCATTACCAGTGAGTAATATGAGTCTTCTAGATGAAGATTACAATTAAAATATTGGTAAAGGATAACAGAAAGCAGAAATATGTTTTTGACACAATAAATCAGCTTTAACACAAAGCTAACTCCAGATGGCACCATTGCCTTACATGAAATATTAGTGCCTGAAATTTGAGATTTGCTCCAGGAATTTTCCACTTGTCTCACTGCAGTTTTCTTAAAAATCACACTGAGTGGACGTTGTTTTAGATAAGCATCAACACTGCTATGGTACAAATTGTATGGTTGATAAGTGATGCTGACAGCCTTCAATGGTAAATCTTAGTATTCAGATCGCTTTAATTTGAAAACTGGTTCCCAATCAGCACAATATTCAGAGATTAAATGTTGTTTACTCCAAAATATCAACCGGTACAGTAAGTGCTCCAGATAGTATTGCTGCTGGTAGGGAGTACATAAAATAAGTACTAAGCAGCAAGTACAGTAAGTGTTGAGATACGTTCTCTATAAATTCTCTTAGTGGCCTGAACAATCTAGTTTTTATTCCATGTGAATACAGTCAGATTGTATTCTTGTATAAAGACAAATATTCAGTTAATCTGAACAGTGAAATGAGTTTTGCTTACTTTGAAAAGCAGCAATTATAGCAGGACACAGAAATCACAACTTAAAAAACATCCTACTAGGAAATTTCTTTTTCACAGATAGTGACTTGAATCTAGTTGACTGTATATCACAGAAAAACTGCAATTTCTGGGAGACGATCACAGAATCACAGAATCACAAGGTTGGAAACGACCTGCAAGATCATCCAGTCCAACCACCCTCCCATTCCTATCAGTGCCACAAGCACTAAACCATCTCTCGTAGCTCCTCATCCAGGCGCCTCTTGAACACTGCCAGGGACGGCGACTCCACCACCTCCCTGGGCAGCCATTCCAGTGCCTGACCACCCTCTGAGAGAAAAAGTTTCTCCTAATATCCAACCTAAACCTCCTCTGGTATAACTTCTTGCCATTTCCTCGGGTCCTACTATTTGCCTGGGAGAAGAGGCCAGACCCTTTTGCACCACAACCTCCCTTCAGGAAGTTGTAGAGTGCAATGCGGTCTCCCCTGAGCCTCCTCTTCTCCAGACTGAACAATCCCAGCTCCTTCAGCCGCTCCTCATAAGACTTGTGCTCCAGACCCCTCACCAGTTTCGTTGCCCTTCTCTGGACACGTTCCAGGGCCTCAATGTCTTTCTTGTAGTGAGGGGCCCAAAACTGAACACAGTACTCGAGGTGCGGCCTCACCAGTGCTGAGTACAGGGGGATGATCACCTCCCTGCTCCTGCTGGCCACACTATTTCTAATGCAGGCCAGGATGCCATTGGCCCTCTTGGCCACCTGGGCACACTGTCGGCTCATGTTCAGCCGAGCATCAACCAACACCCCAAGGTCCCTTTCCTCTTCACAATCATCCAACCACTCATCCCCAAGCCTGTAACGCTGCCTGGGGTTGTTGTGGCCAAAGTGCAGAACCCGACACTTGGCCTTGTTAAACCTCATCCCATTCATCTCAGCCCAGCGATCCAGCTTACCTAGATCCCTCTGCAGGGCCTCCCTGCCCTCAGGCAGATCGACACATCCTCCCAACTTGGTGTCATCTGCAAACTTACTCAGGGTACACTCAATCCCTTCATCTAAGTCATCAATGAAGATATTAAACAGGATGGGCCCCAGTACCGACCCCTGGGGGACACCACTTGTAACAGGTCTCCAGCTGGACTTCACTCCATTGACCACCACCTGTTGAGCACGGCCCTCCAGCCAGTTCCTTATCCAACGGAGTGTAAAACTGTCCAAGCCATGGGCAGCCAGTTTCCGCAGAAGGATACTGTGTGAGACCATGTCAAAGGCTTTGCTGAAGTCTAGGTAGACTACATCAACTGCCTTTAAATGCCTCTATATGGGACAAAGTACCAGTTAAAATGGTAAGGGAAGCTATGAATAGCAGTACTGCTACTGGGAAGCAAAGATTAGAGTACCCATGCTAGTGACAAGCTCCAGTATCAACAGCTGAGAACTAGCAAATTAATTCAGTGATCAAATGACCTCTTTTGAGCTGCGGCTTCACAGACCATTGTGGTGGTTGTATGAAAGGGTACACATCAAAAGCATGGCTAGTATGTTATGTGCGAGCTGCAGCCAAGTCAGAAGAACAACTGTGTAATAGAGTGTGATTATGTGAACAATGCAATAACCTAAAAGAGGGTGAAGCAACAACTGAAAAAGCTGCCTGTACAATACATCTGTGAGGCACAGCTCCTTGAATATTATTATACCCGTAATAGAATGCAATCTATCACACTTGCAACTCATGCAGATGCCTCTTGCCATACCAAAAAGTCAGATATCAATCCACATTTTTGGTGCTCTCTCTCTCTACATGTTATGAAACTGATGTTCTGTTAGCTGTAGTAACAAATAATGTCTAGTACTATCTAAATTGAAATTGAATGCATGAATTTGCAAGACAATATATTATAGTGGAATATGTATTCTAAATGCCTTGAGAAATTTGCTGTGATTTAGAAGCAAGTACAATAGATCTTCATTTCAAAACACTTCTCAACTAAACAAGAAGAATATGAAAATAACAGGTCTTCATTTAGGCCATTTAGTAGAATTTTACACACATACTGGTGCAGTTAGCACATGGATGGCAGGATAAGCCCATTGGTGCTGTCTGTATTCACATCAGTGCTTCGAGTGCCTGTCTGGTCTGCCATGTCTGTACATAGCATCAATGCCATGTTCCACCTGTGCATGCCTGCTGGGAGTGCACCATCTGCCTCACTACTGGTTGGACCTGGGGACGTGGAGTTCCTGCAGCCTCACCTCACTCCATAGATCTAGCCTGACGTAATTTCTTCTACAGTGTTAAAAGTCTAAAATGTGCGTTGACACTGGTAAAAGGAGAAGCAAATATACAATATTTACTTAAGACTCCTCTGTCCACTTCCTAATTTGTACACAGAGCACTTTCTAGTCTTGTCTCCTGCCTAAATTCATCTCCCAATACTACAGAAGTAACGCAGATGTGGAAAGAGGCCTTTTTTTCCTCCTGTTCATGTGTTTTCTTTTGTCAGAACACTGTGCCTTTATATTTACACTTCACTGGTCTCTTAGACTGCTTTGGCAACTGTTCTAAGAAGTTTAGGTATGTTTTGCAGAGTATCCTTTTATTTCTGTATCTCTTGTTAACTGAAGGTATAGAAGTACATAACCAAACCCTAGTTCTATGAGCCACAGAACAAAAAGCATTATTGCTTAATTATTTTACTCAGGAAGCAAATAAAAGAAATGCCGTATGGTCTTAGTTTTTAGCTATATAAAAATTTAAAAATAAGTAATGTGAAGCATCCAAGTACATACTGAAGGTGGCATACCTTTGAGTTCAGTTTTCTCTGTTTCTTTCAGTGACTGGACAAACAGAATCTGGCTCTCAGTGAGTGGCCAACTATTATATAACACCAATGCCTGTATGATATACCTGTGAGGCTGTGAAAGAAAATGTGATACGTGAACATGCTGAGGACATAACAATTACAGTAAGTATTTAAAACCTGTAGTAAGTATTTAACCTGTAGGTTAGTAAAGTGGCAACTGTTGAACTCAGCAAATGAAACACATGATTACTTTACAAGCTTGTACATAACAGTATTCACAAGAAGCTTAAAAAATTAGTGTTAATTCCACAGATTTTATTTTAATTCCTGTGAAATTAAACAATTACTCATGTGTTTATCAACTGAAAATAAACTGAGCTGTACAATAAGGAGCTACATTCTTTAAAGACTTCCATGTAACTTTCCTATGTATGCCATGTGCTAAGACAAAGAATTCTGTCTTTCATTTTAAGTCCTACTACAGAGCTTTGAACACTAATATCAGCACTCAATGTCTTGAGTTGAAGTAGAGGTGACAGGGTCAGTCGGTTATTTTAAACATTTTATACACTGAAAAGGAAATCATACCAATACTTCTTTTAAAAATTGTTTTCCAAATTTTAAAACCAGATTTAAGTCAAAGGAACAACTTCAGAAATTGTCTTTTTTTTCTTTTTTTATTTTTAATATAATGTTGCAGTTGAACCTAACAATCAGGAAGAAAAAAAAAAAACCACACAAAAACACCTGGAGACAGAGAAACAAACAATGCTTGAGAAACAAAACACTACTTTTAAGATAGACAAATAACACCTGATGAAGTCAAGGGAAATGCATGATTCTGACAAACCTCTCTAAGGAAATCTAAGGGCTGAAGAAGCAAATTCATGTGTTAGCAAAGCATTCAGCTGGCTGGTAACAGGTACATCTCTAGTAAAACTACTAAAATTGCCTTTCTCTTACACTGCGTTTCCAAGACAACTCAGACTGAAGCATCAGAAATTTAAGTTGTTAATGGTATTTTTTTGGCCCTTAGCTGCAAGTCACAGTATACTTGCATTGGACTTTGCAAGTGAAGACTGTCTGAAGACTCAATATGTCTACCTTGATTTGAAAATAAAAACGAGCTCTTGTTAGTTGATTATTCATGTAGATATGTTATCATTTCTCCATGGCCTCATTCACCAACAATCTTAATTTTGGATACTCTGTTCTTTCCTCCAGTTATCAGATCTTAAAATGAATTGAAAAAATTATCAATACCCCTTTATGTTTTCCTCACACACATACACTCTCCAAATCTCCCCAAGTTCTGGTAATTTAAAATCTCTTACTTGTTGTGGACTTCCCTGATTATTTTCAAAGTTTTCCAAGGGGAAAGATTCTTCTTCTAACACAGACAGACGTTCTTGGGAAATTCCTCTCTTGAAAGAACTTTTGGTATCCTTTGGAGCTGAAACATGACCTCTTCTTTTAAATCCACTTTCTGATTCCTTCTTTCCAACGCTTCGAATAATCTGGCTTTTACTTGCTGCAAGATTAATAGTATCAGTGTAAATTTCCAAATGTTCTATGAATTATTAGTATGAGGTAAGCAGATTTCCCCAGAAAATATACAAAAGAAGAATATTTTCTCATGCTGCATTATCATCATAACGTTCCAATTGAAATTATGGTTATTAGAACTATTATCCTGCATTCATTCAGCACACAAATCACAGATCACTTCAAAGTAAATAATGAGAAATTTGAATAACTACCTAACTGCTGCTTACTGTTCATCATAATTCTAGTAACTTCTGTCCTTACAGAAGTCTCTTATGTCAACATGAATCATCATATTTAACTAAAGCCAATCTTAACAGGAGCCAAAGAACTATTTGTGATCTATCATGTATAACATTACACCCTGGTCCCTTATAGAAAATATTAATGTGTATAAACTGTGAAACCAGAAATGCGCTAAAGAAAGGCTATAATGGAAACACTAATCCAGAAAACTTGAACTTAGGCTCGTTCACATGAAAGGAAAATCTCTCAAAAGGGAAGTGAGCAAGACTGGGTAATTATTTCTCAGGCTAAAGAATTCAAGACCGTTGTGGATTTAGATGAAATTAGTACATAACTCTTGTGATAGATGGAAATAAAATAAAAGCCAAGGAATTCTGAAGGTAGCTGAAAATAAGTTACACTAGCTTAAGACTCAGATTGAAAATAGGCTCTGAGGCATATAAGGATAAATCTCACTGTTACTTGTGTTACACGTCTTACGGTTTTTTTTGTTTTGTTTTATCCTGTCATCACTTTGCTCCATGTTATCAAATGTGTAATTCTGGGGGAAGTATTCTTTTGTCTTCTTCATTTGCTTATAATCAAATTTACCTGGCTATAACATGTCACATCACTTCTTTTACAATGGTTTCTTCATCATGCAAACTGCTAATGTGCCTAACAGCATGCATGATGATCTGTATGGCCAGCTGTGTGTGCGTGTGTATTGTCTCACTGAACACCACTGAGAAGAGTCTGGCTTTGTTCCCTTTCCTTCTCTGTCCTCTACCTCAGGTGTTTACATGCTGCCAGGTTTGGATTCACTATGATGGTTGGCTGGATTACACAGAGACAGTTTTAATTAATTCCAGATGCATTTATGTAAAGTACAATCAAGAGTTTCCTAGCACTTTGAGAGAATATGCAGATTTTAGCACATTTATGAAAGATGACTTTTGAACTCACCAATGGCAAGAGAAAAGCTGATAAGCCTGCAGTGTAATGAGTAGTAATACAATTTTTATATAGAAAATGCATCTTTAGTAAACAAACTTCTCAGATTCAGTTGTTCTGACAAAAATGAATAGGGTATTGGCTGTTAACTTTCAAATACATTTGTATTACAGGAAATTTTATTTAAAATCAAATATTCCCTTAAGGGATGATTTTCTCACTATCTCAGTTGCTATCATAAAGACTTCACAAAAGAATAATCAGCATTTATTAACTTTGCAAGTCATGGGGAAACAGTTCTTCCCTCATTGAGAGGAAAGAACAAAAAAGGAAGGAGGGAATTTCTGTGAGGATCATTGTGTAGTTGTAGGAGAGGCTAAGTAAAAAAAAAAGAAAAAATAAAATAATTTTTTTTTTAAAGCATGAACGTCATTGTATTTATTCATGAATGTTTTGCTTATCTTTGTTTATATGATTGATGACAAGCCAATAACACATGTGCTTCCATTACAGAGTGATGATCAAGATGGTGCATTTAAAGCACAGAGTTCAGTGTAATCTGTGAATTGTCTATCCTATCCCATGATTTGGGCATCAGTTTCTTGACAACCAGTACCAAAACAAAGTTTCAGATCAAAAAGAGGCAAGATCTTGAAAATAGAGCGTATTTCTGTTCTCAAGGACAAGGCAACATGTGCATTAAACTTTCAAAACAGAGAAGCTACTTGAATGATCCAAACAACTCTTTAGACAGTTACAAAATGAGGCCAAAACACAGAGGAATAAGGAAGTGATTGACACCTTATTTCAATCAGTCATTTCAGTATCTTTCCTCATTGCTGGGAACCAAAGATTTCAACTCATTGCTCAGGAATTTCACTTAATTGCAAAGCCACTAAGGATTTCATGGAAAAAGCAAGGAAAAAAATCTATTTTCTTTGTTTACATAAAGTTATTGTAAGAATGTATGCCCTTCAGTGAATAAAATTGTCAAATATTGAATACAATACTTACGTCGGGAACTCGAAAGTGTTTCATTACTCAAGAAATTAAAAGCAGGAATGACTGCATGGCCCTTTCCAGTGACATTTACAATTTCCTCCTCATTATCTAGGACTTGTAGCTTAATGAACACATCTGATTTAGAGGTTTGTACCTGCACTGTAGCAATATGTGATGCTGTGACTTTCACTAAATACCTAAAGAAGAAAAAAAATCACGACAATATAACCAACAATACCAGATATTTCTTTTCAAGGGAAGTATTTAAGCATTGTGCTGACATGGAGAAAAACACTTAAAACTGAGTTTTTAGCTCACTGTTTTCTTGCAATCTGGTGAGCTAAGCATCCTTTACTGCACTTCAGTGCAGTGAATCTACAATTAAAGTAAACATGGGCAGCTACAAAAAGTGGTGATATTGTCATTTTTTTTCCCCGTTTTATCGGATCTCTATATTATTGCTCCTCCTGTAATAAAATTTGTTGGAAAGATATGGTTAGTGATATGATTAGTTTCATTTAACAAGTAATCCAGTAAAAGTTAAAAAAAAAAAGTAATTAAGTAAAAAAAAAATAGAAAAAGTAAATAAATAATCACATTCTGATTGAACATGCTCTTCTAAAACAATCACATGCTCATATAAAATCAGGCAAAAAATATACCAAATTCCACGCCTCCTCACCACTTGTAAAATCCCAGTTTTAATGCATGTTTAATCTCTGAAAGTAATATGGAATCTCAGTCATTAATATGTAGGTAAGACTGAGCTCAGAGAAATGTGAAATATTATTATGAGAATTTTGAAACTACAGTCTGCTTATTTCACAACCATTATTCATTAAGCAGCAGCAGTATTTCAGGAAAAAAAAAAAGCAACAAAACATTTATGAAACACAGAACCTGGTTTTGAGTATCTATGGCTAAAAAAAATGGAGATGTTAGTAGCTTGTGGTTGCAGTGGTAATGAGAAGACGGTTGGACTAGATGATCTTATAGGTCTTTTCTAACCTTGTGATTCTATGATTCTATGTTTGCTTAAACACCTTCCCCTTCTAGGAAAGAGGAAAGAACATACTTTGCTGAAATGGACATAAAAAGCAGGATTTAATCATTATTATCTCAGTATTTACCTAAACATTACACATTTGTCATTGGGGATGTAATACTCTGTGATTTCTTTAGTAGAATAGACGTTATTTACAGCCTCACGAGAGAGGAATGGGAGAGGACTATGGGAACTGATGAGTCGGAGCCTCCATCTTCCAGCTGTCAAAGACTGGTTACCAGTATGTGCTTCAGCCATAAATGTATATCCTTTCTGAAGAGAAAACAACATATTTTTTACTCAGAAATGACACTTGCTAGTCCTGGAAATGCAGCTTGCAATGCAGAGTACCAATTGAAGGTAAAATTGAATAAGTATTGAAAAGGCAAGTCATAGATGTAAACTGTAAAACTACATCAGAGATAGTAAGGCTGGAGAATTGCCTAATGACAAGTGAGAGGAAATAGAAAGTAGTACATGAGAATAAAAAAGAATATTCAAAGAAGTTGGTGAAAGAATAAGTGAGAGGAGAATAAAAAGAAATGTAAATAAATGACAGAGGAGTACAAATTCTTGTGAGCAACACATAGAAGCCTTCACTGACATTAAAGTTAAAAATTTTAAACTAAATATTTAAATACTTAAAGTAGTAATTATTTTAAACAACATACAATATAAAGCACAAGAATTAAATAAATAAATAGTTAAAAGAGAAGTACTACAATAAAAACCAAATTAAAAAAACATCTAACAGAACAGAAGATTCTGGCCCAGCATTAACAAGCTTGGTGCAATTAATTTCCAAATAATTGAATCAGTATCATCTACTGGTTTTTAATGAAAAGGGAAAAAAAAAAGTAGATTATACTATTGATAAGAGCATTCTATAATCTTCTTGAAATCTTAGATTTATTTGTTTTTCTCCCTGCTGATTTTAAAGGTTCTTATCATTACATTCTGACTCCTCAGCTGTTATTATTTTCCAGCTTTCTTGAACTATTTAAGCAATTAGGACAGTTTTGGGGTTTTTCTGTTACATTTTTTCCCTCCATTATAACCATGCTGAATGGCTCAAATCACTTCAGACTGCTCTGAAGAACAATAACTGTTTTTTCACTTCTGAACTAACTACTTTAATAGGTCACATGCTGTCTGGGGAAGGGGGGGGGGATAGTCAGGTAGAAGCAATATTCATACTCAAATGGAATAAAGAGACAGATAACTTGAATGCTTGAATGTCCACCCTACATGACATTTCCCAACTGCTAGTTCTTGGCATTACAAGGATCTTCCTTAATGTACTTGGACTGGGTACCATCGCCCCTTTTCTAATCATCAATAAAGTGGGATGTGTTTTCTTCTCCTACTGGAACTTCTAAGAGACTATTGATAAACAGTGTTCCACACAAGCCTGTCAAATTCAAAATGACTGGCCCTTCTCCTTCCTTCACAATATTAACCATACAAACAAAAAAAGTGTAAGACCTTCCCCCCGTCAGGTGGGGAAGAGTAGAACCAAGGAAAAAAGAAGAAAAAGTTATTTGAGGGAAAAGAAAAAAGAATACTGACTTCCTGTCAACACTAAACTGAAGTGAGTTCCTACAGAAAAAGTATTATTCTATTAATTTGTGACTCTCTCATGGTACTGAAAAGTTATTTATTGCCCTATTGAGAAAAATTTGACGTTTCAAGTTCTATAGAATAAAATTGTTACAGATTCTCCAGGGAAAAAGCATTCCCTATAGTTCTGAAAAGGAGAATTACTTAGAATGGCTAATCTGTATGCTTATGCATGCATGCCATGCACATGAAATAAATGTGCTTTCAAGTGTTAGTGCAACATGAAAGTTGCAAAGTAATTTTAAAATTGTAAATACTTTTAACTCCAAAGGTGACCACAGCTGAAGATGAGAATATTTTGGCAATTCATGCACAAGACTACAGCAAAATTATATAAACATGAAATAAAAACGTGAAAACTTCTTCATTCATTGATAAATCAAATGAAAATCTCCCTTCATGCTGGAGGCAGTGGGAAACTGTATGCGAATACAATCTGGAGATTTAGAGATCAGATTCAATCTACGGTTAAATTAATAACACTCCAGCATTTAATAATTTCATTGCAAGATGTTAAATATCAGTATATTAATCTTATTTAAAGTCTTGTAAGAGTCTAGCACACACCTAGAGAAGTGTGTGGTAGACAAAAAGTTTGGCATGAGCCAGCAGTGTGTGCTTGTAGTCTGGAAGGCCAACTATATCTCAGGCTGCATCAAAAGAGCAGTGGCCAGTAGAGCAAGGGAAGTGATTGTTCTCTTCTAGTCTGTCCTTGTGTAAACCCATCTGGAGTACTGCATTCAAGCCTGGGGGCACCAGCACAAGAAAGATGTGGAGCTGTTGGAGTAGGTCCAGAGATGGGTCACACAGGTGTTTAGAGGGTCCCTGAGCGTTGTTCAGCTGATGCTTGAGAAATGCTTTTCTGTCATTTTTGGCTCTGTTAAAAAAACTTGTGTATAAGATAGTAAAAAAAGTATATAGTAGCAGTATACAAATAAAAAGAGACTAGAAGAAATAAAGTAGTAACTTGCATTGCATTTTTTATTTAGACTGTAATATCTGCAGAAAGCAGGCAAAAGGCATTATCGCTAGTCTGCAGATTTTATCCCTACTTTAATATTAATTTCTGAATGATTGAAGGCACTCCTAGAGCAACTCTGTAGCAAATAACAGTATCTACTGATAAAATTTACTTTTGTTCTGTTTTAATCTGCTGAGTCTTAGTTTTGCAGCAGAACAACTAACTGCTACATTTATTCAAAAGGAAAAATATCTTGTTTTATATTAATACATACATTTAGGAATTCAGGCATACTATATTTTCTTGTTTTATTATTGACATTTCATATAAAATACTCTTAAAAGAAAGGTAACAACCAGATTAAAATGACACTACCATATGCAATTGTCACAAAAACAGAATAATTGTCTTGTCAAATCATCAGTCAAGTTTTCGGTGGTGTTGCAAGTCCACTGAAACATTAATGGACCATTTGCAAAAAGGAAGGTAAATTGTTTGGCATAAGTGCACAATTTTATTGAAAAACTCAGTAGCAGAGATTATGTAATAAAACAAGTGGAAAAACGCAGCATACACGTACAATTCTCTTTTAATACTCTTAAATCAAAATCACTCTTTACTAATATTAACCATATTTTATAACATTAAATATAAAATCATAGGCTTAGAGAGTAAGAAAAGTGGTTATCTGCAATAATAATTACGGTGGAGAGGTCTTCAATAAAGAAGAGAAAATAATGATAGTAATTCTTTAGTTTATGACAGAATCACTGGAGCTATCACATGGTGTATCCACGCAATAATAAGTAGGTGGGGGTAGGGCATACCAAAATGAGCATCTCCAATATTAAAGCCATAGTACCGCACAAAGGTTGGCAAGATCTTAACTGGAATATTGTGTGCAATCCTTGACATCTCTATTCAAGAAAAGTGGGAAGAAGTCCAAGGGAAAAAAAAAACCATAAAATTGTTTCCATTCCATAAGACAGAAATAGAACATTCACAGTCTGCTAAGCAGGACAAATGCTGAGTTCTGAAATAAATCTGAAGTTGTGATCATTCTTTACAGAACTCATCATTATCCTGAAAGGCTGTAAGTGGTGTTTATTACTTGGATTTCTTTTCACATCCTGCCACTTGCCACTGTCTGAACCTTCCTTCCTGATGGAATACACACCCCACCTCTGAAGATTCCAAGTTAACTCTGAGAACTTGATGATATCCCTCCAGCAGGAGTAGTCCTTACCTGCCACATTCAGCTGGCATTCACTGCATACCTTGGATAAAGCAAGCTCATTCTATTGGAGGGGATGGGGAAAAGGTATGATAATACTCGAAGTAAAGCTACAGAAGAAAGACAACAGAACAGTCCTAGACTAACATCAACTCCTTGCTACTGACAAAGCTAAAACTTGAGCTTATCTTCACTAAAAGGATCAGCCATGGGTAGTTGTGGCTAGCACAGACAATATTAGGGGTAATGTTGAAGAGTTTAGAAGCAGGCTAGAACAGGAAAAGAACTAAAAAATAAACTAACTTCTGGATTAGTTCATTCTGATGATCTTCTGAACTATCGAACCAATTAAGCTACATGAAAACTGTATGGGAATAGAGAAGTAGTCAACACTTGCCACTGATCATACTTTTAAGTCCAGGGAAATGTTGTCATAACGAAGAAACTAGAGAAGGTAACCACATCCAGTACACATCTTGAAACACAAGACTCTAATTAGTGAGACTTCCTGACCTGGAAATAATTTCATTTAGTATTTTATCAGTAATGTGCATAGTGAAACAGTGATCTACGTTTAATTAACTGGTACCACAAAGCTAAGGGTTGTAATTTTAAAGAAAAAGAATTCAATGTTACTTTAAATAAGGAAAATGGTCTGAAAGAAAAACAGCACTCAAATCAATAGTGAAATACACCACATTTCATCAAGAAAAATAAACAGGATTCAGTTATTCAGGAAGGCACTTAAGGCTATAGCAGTATGAGTCAACAAAGCTCTTGCAAGAAAAATAAAGGGGGGAGAGAGGGGAAAATGAGCATCAGAATCAGTTTAATAAGTAGTAAAGCCTGCCCAAAAGACATATAAACTAATCATTCCTTAGTCATCGTTTGTTTCATTTTAAGTTAATCCTTGCTGCAAAGTTTTCTGTGCTCAGTGTTGCATATCATAAACAAAAAAAATGAGAACAACTGGGAGCAGTCCAGAGGAGAAAGTAATCAAGAATGTAGGAAACCTAACTAGTAAAAAAAAGACTGAGCAAGCTGCCATCTTTAGCCTAAAAACTGGAAATCTGGGTAATTAGGAGGTCAGTGATAGTCTATTCGAATTTTTTAATAATCGTGGCCATACTTCTAAGCAGAACATTAATACGTAGCTGAAAATGTCTACAGAATTCAGCAATCATTTTTATTCCAATTATTTTTATACTCCACACATTTACCTTATTTTTGGGGTAAATATGAGGTGCCACTTTCAAAAAGACATGTGGCATTTCCTCCAGTGTGTCATTATCAATTACATGAAGTCTACAGGAAGGAATAGTGGTATACATCTTTGGCACTATGAGCATGTCTTCCGGGACAAAAAATATTTCTCTAAAATAAAACAATGAAAAAACAAATTAAATTCATTTTATTTTCACAAACTGAATAATTTGTGTAACAAAACAGAAGTATATATTAGAATTTGATGAAAACAAACTCATGTAAAATCATGTGTTTTGAAACGTATTAGTGAAAAGCAGTGTATCATTACTTCTTTCCAACAAGAATCACATAAAAGGCTATACAAAACTCACCTAAAAACCACAAACCAAATATTTGGTGGCTGATCAGAATATGTTACAGCATAGTCAGCGAAAGAGATCTTACACCACTCATCTTCATAACAAGGGAAATTTTTGATTGAGTTACAGTTTCTTTTAAACATTTCTCTGGAAAATAGTAAAGCAAGATAAGGATTTAAATCTACTCATAATCAGGAGGGGACACGTATTGATGTATATTATGAAGAACACTGCTTCATATTTGAGAGTAAAATGAAATTATAACATGTTTTAAAAAATAATAAATCAGGTAAGGAAGGTGCTCTATTAGTTCAGGAGCTAGTAGCCTGTAATAACTGATACTTACATACAAATGTGTTGTGTATCTGTCAGTCTATCCACTGATTATTTTTATTATTAAAAAAAAAAAAACAACAACCAAAAACATTAGATAGGACGCCTTCCATTTCTTTTTATTAAGCTGTCATCATAAAGCTATGGTATCATAAGGGGATTTTAAAAAACTTTCTTTCATCTTCAAACTCTTAGGTGTTATCAGTTTCTGTGGAATTAGAGCTAACCTGTCTGGCACCTGACTGACGCTGGGAAGCTTATTTATAATTTGTGGTACCAAAAGTTAATGTTCCTCTGAACATGTCCAAGTTTTACATTGCTAGTGTTATTCACCAAATCTGGCCAAAACTTTGATGTTTTGCCTTCTCTAAAGAGCAGTTGGAATTAACAAACAATCCCCACTTTCATATTTTTAGCAATGATAATAGCCAACCATGGCATTTAATGAAGGTGAGTCACAGAGAGGATCTAAACTTTCTCAGAATTAGTTTAAAGCAGAACAGTCTGAGATATTCTTCTGCAAAGCTTTGCAAATATTCCTTCCATCACTGATGAGCGGTGCACATGGACAGAAGCAGCTCCTCAGAAGCCTCCAATCTGTGAATTCCTTGAAAATTACAGTATGGGCAAGCACAATGACCTTCTCTTTGTGAATGTAGGATTTGTAATGAGAAACAAATTGAAAATCTTGCTTAAAGGGAGATGTTTTAGGGCTTTTTAAACTAAGAGATTACATTGCAAAATGGTGCTGCTTCTGTCCTGTGGTGCATCCAGGCTTTAAGTATGGGAAAACTATCCTAACACTGAACTCCTGAAGTTTTTGCTTATAACTTCATAGGTCAAAGCACTAGCTTTTTATATTAAACAAAAGTCATGCAAACATATAATAAAGCACACCATATCTCTACAGAAAGCATCCTATCCTTTCTGAGCCAGTTTTGTAATTTTAAAACTAATAACACTCTTCCCACATTTATTGTGTGCACCAGCAATTCATGGCAACTCTGTGGAAATGGCTGCAATAAAGTATTATAATTTATTATATCATTACCTTAACAGCACTACAGCACACTGTTCAAAATTTAACTCAATTGAAGTCCACAATTTTTGCAAGATTTCTTTTACAGCAATGTTTTCCTTAGTACCTAGAAATAATAAAATAAGTTAGAAAATGTACATAGTACCTAACTTTTGTATTGTTTTAAATGTACACTTATCAAATATTTGTGAAAAACATCACTCAGAAGTTAATTGTCTTATGAATGCTATCTTATTAGGAATTTTACAGAGGTGCCAGAGAGCTGACAACTACTTTCTCCTTTCACTATCCCCATTATCATCACCATTTTTCAGTACTTTTCCAGCTTAAAAAATTATGTGACTAATATTTTCCATTTTAAATACCATCTCAATAACATCTTGTGTTGACATGAAATGCCACAGAAAATTAACTAGGTATTAATTAAAAAGGACACACCTGGTTTTCTGCTGTTCAGTACTTTCCTCACATAAACCCCCCTCCAAACAGCTTGGAGTTTAAGAGCTGCTGCTGCTTCTTCAGAAGTAGGAATTCTTTTCTGCCAGCTACTTAGGGAATTTACTTCACAACTCTCTGAAAGAAGAGGAAGAGAACAAGCAACACTTTATTAGTTTACAAGGCTGGAAGCCTTGTAGCTGCTTGCTATAAAGTGAAAATACAAAGGAGAGCTGAGTTACAGAAGTAACAGTTCCTGCATAAAATTTCCATTTATGGCAAAAATACCACTGTTAAAATTTTCCTCTTATCATTATAAAAATAGATACTATATACTGCGTAATTACAAAGTCAGCATGCAGCTACTATGCTAATGCTGAATACCAAATTGTCATATTTTTGCTTCTCTCTACAGATAGGTGTTGCATTTTATTTTTTAAAATCAAGTCTTGTAATGAAATCATCTTCCAAAAATAAACCAACATAATTTCATGCATTAAAGTCTGAATCTGAATAAAGCTTAAAAGAGCTTCACAAGATTTCAAGTGTTTCTATCTCTGAATCTGATTTTACTAAGTGATAATTTGAACACCAGCAATATTCAAAACATTGCATTTGGTATCTGCTAAAGAGGTACAGAATAAGGGTAAGACAAATGATAATGTGGAATTTTGTTTATCTGACCGTGACTTTCAGTTATCAAGGAGTTTTTGAATGGAATAGAAATTAGAATCATAGAATCCTTAGAGTTGAAAGGGACCTTTGAAGGCCATGTAGTCTAACTCCCCCTGCAATGAACCAGGACACCACAAGTAGATCAGGTTGCTCAGAGCCCAATCCAGCCTCACTACATCTCTGAGTAACCTGTTCCAATGCCTGACCACCCTCATTGTAAAAGCCTTTTTCCTTACATCTAACCCAGGTTTACCCTCTTTAAGCCTGAAGCCATTTGCCCTTTTTCTATCGCAACAGAGGCTGCTAAAGAGCCTGTTCTCTTCTTTCCTGTAGCTCTCCTAATAAGTAGGTTCTGACAGGTTACTAACGAGAAATTTGATGGAATTCTTGCCCAGAATTAACATCCTTGAAGCTATCAGCACAAGGGTTTACCTGGGGAGATAATGGGGAGTAGCACCACAGGGAGGCAGTGTCAGGAAACCAGCTGGGAAATGCATTGATGCACAATGAGGGAAGTGAGCTAGAGGGAGAGGAAGGATAATGCTCCAAAATGAAGTACTATCAAACAAAAAGGAGGATGAAAGAGTGACACATGGGGACACAGTGGGACAAATTAGATTAAGAAAATATATTACTTTCATCAGAAAGAAGATCACACATTTCAACCTAATATATTCCATTTAACATTGATAGAATTGATTGCTTCCAACCATTATTATTGTCAAAAGTCTCCTTAATACTTAGCAACTCTGAAAGGTTACACAAGTTCAGTCCAAGAAAGAACAGTTTAGAACTCAATATGGCACAGCACAACCACTTTTTAAAAGAAGCATGCAATCATAGAATAAAGTTGGCTGGAGAGGACCATTAATCTAATCACATATTCAAATCAGGATCAAGTAGAGCACATCGCTCAGAGTGTTCAGCATATGCCCAGCTAATTTTTTAATATCTCCAGGGATAGTGACTGGGCAATTTCTTTCAACATTTGACAGGACAGACAGTGAAGAATGCTTACCTGAAATCCAACTAAAATGTCCTGTTTTTAAGTTGTGTCGTCAATGTGCACCACTGAGTGAGATACATATTTGAATTTCAAATACAGTTTACACCAATAAAATTATAGCAGATAGCTTGACTTCTAGACAAGTTTCAAATGAAAAGGTTCATACAGAACCTTTATCTACTCTGTTTCCAGGAAAACACATAACAGCCATGCCATTGAAAAAAGCATGCAGCTTCAGAAACTCCCATCTTTATCTCACATTGTATGAACTTGTCTCCTATGGATCCACTGCTAGCTGTTCCTTGGGGGTGAAGAGGATTTGGACAGATCAACATCACTAGATTGTTTTCAGGATGGCTTCTCAGAAACCTTACCAGACAGGACTGCTAACTGCAGTATGTCATAACAAGACTTGTCATAGACAAGTCGAGATGAATTCAGCACAGAGGGCAAAATAGCTATGCTACTAGAAAAAAGAAATGGAGATAGCATTTGAATTTCAGACTTGATTTGACCCACCCTCATACACAGACAAGAAGAAAGATGTCATTCATCTGTTATGGTACCTTTCAGTGATTATTACTGATTTTTAAAGTCTGGTAAGATGCATGACTAACCTAACAATTCAGCAGTGCTAATGTAGGCCAGTCCTTCTAGGCATAAAGCAAATCTACAAACCTTACAGATTTTAGATTTGTAAGTTAACAGAACATAAATATAGTTTTTGAACCAAAAAGAGCATAAATATAAAATATAAAAACATTTATAGATAAACTTTTTATACTTTTATTCTGAGATATGTCTCACTGAATAATTTCAGACATTCTGCTAACGGTAGAAAACTAGAGTACCCAATAAGAAATGAACTTTGGTTATTTGATCAGGATCAGTGAAGATCTAGTTCCTTCCAAAGTATGTTTGAAGCTTTTACCGATACCACTACAGTACCTGAAGACACGCTGTCATCCTCAAGTAGATCAGTGCATTTAAAATCTAAAGTGAAGGACCTGAAGGCAAATTTATACTTATGAGGCATCTTCTTGTCCAATACATATTTGATCAAAGACCATAATGCACTATTGAAAACCTTAAAAAAAAAAAAAAAAAAAACATTTGTCAGATAATTATTCATTTATAAAAGCCAACTTATACTGGCTCTCATTAACATTTCAAGAACTTTTTAGCTGTTTTCATTTTCATGTGATGCTTAACTTTATCTCACACATAACTGACAGTCCTTACTGTGGAACTCCAATACTTCAAGCAAGCAAGCAAGAGAAAACTATTTTCATGCCCAGCTTTTAAATACAGGACAGATTCCAGAGCACAAGTTTTCATTACCTAAAAATCTTTTAGTTTATGTGAAGTAAGCTGATTTTCTCAGAGCATAGAAGAACATGATCATTACCATTATGACATGGGCATGACTACTGAGTCAGTAGATGAACCCCGTTATAAAAAGTAGGAATATACTGATGGGCAAACAGGGAAAATTTGGTGTCCTACTTTCATGACTGTATTGATGTCTGTTTTTATTCTTGACACTCTGATGCTCTTTAGGAAGCAGAAATCCTAAAAGAGAAAGTCTCTTTCTGCATCTTTAATTAGATTAGAAATTTCAGACTATGTTTTTCAGAGCCAGTTTCACAGTCTGAATTGAAAAATAGCTAGGACTTAATGTAAAAAAATTTATCAGTCTGTTTTTCATTCTCCTTATTTTCAGATTTTTAATTAGTTCTTGAGTTATATATATTAATATTAATAAAAACTTATTTTATTTTGAAAACAATTAAGACTGATGAAGGAAGAATCCACTTTAGCACGTGCCTATATTCAGAATATACACTGTCTACATTAGACAGATCATTTCCATATTTTCCTTCTTGAATCACTGTTGGCTAATTCAAAGCGTGCCTTTAAAAAAAAAATCCTTTGCTACAATACACTAACCTTCTTGTGAGAGCAGATGAGATACATATACCTACATCTACTGAATTTTCCTACAAGTCCCTAAGTTACTGATGGATTGTGACCCAAGGAGCGGCCGGTGAAATGGACCAGAAGAGAGATTCAAATTTAAAGCACAGTGCACATAATAAAACGTGTTCATAATAAGAGAAGATAATTACGGAACGCCACTGCAAGTTCCATATGCATTGATTCTTAATAGCAAGTGCCACATTTGAAACATTCAGGAGGTCCTTTGTAAAAACATAGCCACTGGTTTTTAATGACAACATTAAGCTGTTATCTCTGCAGCCTCTAGATACGTGTTTACTGAACAAAGTTTTACCTTAAAATGTTCTTCAGCCATTTCAGTACCATGGATGCCAGGAGGACAGTGAGTTAGTTCCAAATCCTTCAGAGCTTCAGATAGTTTGGGCTTACTGCTGAAATTATTAATCACATTTCCAATAGCTTTCAGGATAGCAATAGCCTGCCCAATAAATCGGTAGCTCTCCTGGGGAAAGAGGAGAAAAATTAGCTGTTGCTATCTAGATTGTTTTAAGATTTTGTTTCCTTTTAAGATCCCGTTTCCTTTCTGAGCAGTGACAGGACATTGGCATTTTTTCCTGATGCTGAAATACTAAAAATTCCTTAAATCCTTATAAACTATAAAATCAATTACGTATTCAAAATTCCAAATTTTCAAAATTCATAATGTGCAAAATTCCACCAACTTTAGCTATTGAAATGAATATATGACAATGTTCTAACAAATAGTATAAAACATATCTGTTACGGATTTTTTTTTTTTTTTCTGTATTATTGGTCCTAGAACATTTAATCAAAAATAAGAGTAACATAGAAACTTTCTGCTGCAATAATAAGATGACTGCTGTTAGTTGAAGTGTACAACATTGTTATAGAATGGTATAGGTGAATATTTGTATTCATCTGAAAACAATGCCCAAATACATGCTGCCTAAGGCATCTTTAATCTCCCCCAGCTTTTCTGTGCAAAAAAATTAGACACTTTCCTGCAAACGACACACTTTAGACAAAGAGATAGTCCAGCAACAAACAATTTTTAACGTCCCAACGTCTCATAATTAATCTCATAATTAATAATTAATTCCTTGCTAGAATAAATATATTTATATGTATATATATATAATGCTGCTTTAATACCTAATCATCAGGTTCCTGAATCTGAACTGCTACATGAATTTGCCATTATGCTCACCTTCCAATTTATTTACTTAACTTTTGCAGAACTAAGTTTGAGAAGCTGTATTCCCTCCCCATATGCTCATGCCAAATATTTGGGCATACTGCTTGCCAAAGAAATCTTGAAAACATTAATGGCAGTGATACCCATCTACACTGAAGGCAACAAAGACCAAAAGTTGTAGGAGTTGTAGGAGGATGCTCCCCACGGCATCTTGCCCCAGCTTTGACAAATTGTTTGAATCAATTTTTCATTTTAGGGATAAAAGCTACTCTGTGACCTAGTTAGTAATATGTGATCTCATGGGACAAAACAAAATTTATTGATGTGACAACCTATTTTACCAGACATGTATGTTTAAACATAGATCATGTGTACTTTTTTACATGCCTCAAAGAGAGAGCTTATACAATAACTTGGACGTACGTATCTCAGCAAGAGTATTTTCTGTATTCCACTTTAACCAGCTCTTCAGTGTGTACTTCCTAATGCTTACTTGCACATTCATACAAGTCAGCTATTGCAAAATCCATTTAAATGTTTCTAGCGTCCACTAAAAACATTTTCAATCTACTCACGCATTTCATATTAAAATTAATATTATATTCTCAAACATACTAAAAGATCAATAGTATTCCACTTCAAAACCAAATAACAGTCAGAAATAACTTTAACACAATACTTGACTAGCTCTAGACATGCACACCTTTTCGAGATTTCGCATTACAGCATCCTCTTCTCCAAAGACACAGGGCACCATGCTACAAAGATGAATATGGTGCCCTACAGCAGAACTTACTGTAAAGAGAAGTACGTGTCGTCTACATTAAAAGAAAAAAAAAAAATTAAATTAAAAATAACTTTTTTCATTGTTGATAAGTCACAGTTATTGTTAAGCTTTTCTTTTCATACCAATGTTTGTTACAAAAGATACCTTCTCGCAGATTCTCTCACTCTCCAAATCTTCCTAACTCCTCGCTTTGCTAAAACTTCCAGATACAGGCAAATACAAATAGGCAAAATCAGAAAAATCATTATTTTATTTGCTTATATTTAGATTTTACTTTTTCTGCAGCAGAATAAGTAATTCCACTATTTCGGATGGATATAACCTCAAAGCTTTTAGGTCAGTTTGCTACACTTAAAAACATGCTTGCTCTAGGAAACTTCTAAAGGAAGTTAAGTGCTCTGATCATATAAATTACATCATAATTTCTGTGTTTACAAGGACAACTACCAGAAAAATTTCACACACGCACTTCATCTCATCACAATCTTCTATCATTGTCAGAATGGCATTTAGACAAGTACATACTAGCTACAACTTCATATTAAACAGAAGTAAGGCAGCAAGAGTTAGAAATTGCTCATCCCATCCTGAACTTCTCCTCGTTTTAACTACATTGTCTTGGGGAGTGAAATATAAGACACTTCTCAACAACTGACAAAGCAGAAAGAAGAAAGTACCTTCCAGGCTGAACAATCCATATCTCATTTGAAATAAAATGGGAGAGTGGTCAATGAGCCCATCTGTTTCCTACACTTGCTGTAAATTAAAGCTTAATGAAAGCCTGCTGGCCTTGGTAAGAGTAAAGAAAATCAAAGGTAGGAAGCTCGTAGTTTTGCAGGTGCAAAAAAATGCACATTTTAATGTTTCTGTAGAGAACACAAACATGCAATTACAGAAACTATGCCAAGGAGGTGTGTGTACTGATAAAACCAATCTACAATCAGAATCACATCTTTTCTATATTTTAGTTTGAATTTATTCAATTAGAGGTCTCTAGGAGAGAGTTTATTTTACTACCAACACGCTAGTATTATGGTATGTTCTTTCTACACCCGTTCATTTGAAGCCCAACACGATTATGTTTTATTTTCAAGACATTTAAAATACTGGATGGACATTCTCTGCGTGAATTTTCTAAAGTACATTTTCTTGAACTGTGAACAAGTAGTGCAATATTAATTTATATCTTAGAAAAAATAAACAAGTTGAAAATTCAGTTAATTGCTTACTAAATAAATTTTTGAGACATCTTTTTGAGATTAAACTGGTGTATGTCTCTATTTTCCAGCAAAGCAAAAACCCCCGATGAATTCATTAGCAAATATATGCTTAGTGCATGTTAAAACGATGTCATTTTTCATTTAAACCATTTCCAGAAATCAGTAAATATTAAAGGCTCTTACCTTTTGTTTATTTATTTTAAAAACCTGGAAATTCTTTACACTGAGTGCATGGAGTTATACACACAGAAAAATAAATTTTATTGTGTGCTAATTATGAAGTTTTGTAAAAATTTCACTTATAATGGAAGATAAGCTATGCAAGGCCTCTTGTAACCCCTCAGAATTTCTCATCTCATGATTCACAAATCCTATTTCAAGAAAAGCTATGAAGCTTCCTACAGTGTCATTATTCTTTCACAGTTCCACTAAAAATCCTAATTTTTTTTATTTTTCTTTGTCCTTTGACAAATGTCTCAAAGTCATTCTCATTAGAAATAATTTTAAGTAGATTTTGTACTCTGTGACGTTTTCTGTATTTTTAATTTTTTTTTTTTCCTTGCTAATTGCTCTTAAAGAGCAAGAAAAAAAATTATAAATGTTTTGGTAATTATTTTAAATTCATAGCAATTTTGCAGTTTTACCAAATATTAGCTATCAAAGAGTTTGATTTAAACAAAAACTTCAGTTTTAGAAAACAAAATCTTAGATAGTGTGCAAGGTAAAGGATCACCTGAATCCCTAGGTAAAAAAGAGCCTTCAGGAGCAAAGCCTCATACGTACCCAACAGGGAGATTTAACACAGTAGCTTTGGTTGCGTATGTATGCATCTTTAGCACAAGTTCCCCCGGAGTCACACATTTCCAAGAGAAATGTTCAACCTTCAGCAATGCCTTTGAAATACTAGAACCTTCTCGTTTAGCAGCTATAGTAAGAAAAAAGGGGAAAAAAAAAAAAAAAAAAAGGGGTGGAGTAGGGTGTAGACTATAATGGTAAAGTTATCATAAATACAGAACTCGTATTTACAGTCACTGAAATCTTCACATAGGCTTTGGTAACTCAGAGAAGAGAGACAGACAAGAAAAACTCATAGGTGACAGAGAAGATGACACTATTTTTTAGAAAACTATGGTTGAAGCAAGGTACTGGAAAAACGTGTAAATTAGACATCTTCCAAGACACTTAAGTTCCTTCTAACACTCCTTAAAAGTGCATTCTGTCCACATGTAAAGGAAGAAAACATCCATACAAAGCTTATGCTCATATTACAGATACTTAAAGTATACTTTTGATTATATTTTGGTTAGTTTTTGTTAGGAGGGTTACTTTTTTTTTTTTTTTGGGGGGGGGGGGGGGGGTTCTATTTGGTTCTAGCTGCTTTACTCCTGAAGTAATACCTGACATTTGAATGTCTTTCTAACTTAATCTGATTGTCGTAACAACCAATAGCTTTATTGTGCACTAATGTTTGCATTCCACTGATATAATCAAATGTATATTCAAACCATCTAAGTTTCTGGATCTTGAAATAATCTCTCTTTAAATATAATTAAGAGCTTACAGTACATTGGTTTAAAAATCAGTTCAAAAATCAACTCTAGTCATATTGTAGACTTTAGTGCATTTTGATCAGTTCAGACATAAAGATTTCAGGAACAGAAATTATGCAGATAAAAAAGATAAATAACACAAGGAAATCCATAACAAAAAGATATTGATGAAAAACATGCAGCAAACCATAACAGTAAGGAGATCCTTTCAAGAATATATTCATCTTCCATATGAACTAACAATAACATGTTGCTTGGATTTCAAATACATTTCTAAGACTCTGTTTGCCTACTTAACGATAAGCTGCCAAACACAACAGCACAGACATTAAAGTACACACTTGCAGTCTGGAAGGCCAACTGCATCCTGAGTTGCATTAAAAGAACCATGGCCAGGAGGATGTGGGAGATGATTGTCCTCCTCTGCTATGCCCTTGTGAGGCCCCATCTGGAGTACTTTGTGCCTAGACCCCCAGCACACAAAAAGATGTAGAGCTGTTGAAGTGGTTTCAGAAAAGGACCATAAAGGTGACCAAAGGGCTGGAGCACCTCTCCTATGATGAAAGATTGAGAAAGCTGAGCTTATGTGGGTTGAGGAGGAGAAGACTCTTGAGAGACCTCATTGCTGCCTTATAGCACTTGAAGGGAGCTTACCACAAGGAGAGGGACCAACTCTTTACATAACAGTGATAGCACAGGGGGGAGTGGTTTCAAATGTAAAAAGGGAGGTTTAGGTTAGATGCCAGGAAAATATTATTTAATCAGTGGGTGGTAAGGCACTAGAACAGATTTCCCAGAGAGGTTGTAGATGCTCCATTCCTGGAACTGCTCAGGGTCAGGTTGGATGGGGCCCTGAGCAGCCTGATCTAGTGGGTGGCAGCAATGCCCACAACAGGGGGCTGGAATTTTTAAGGTCCTTTCCAATCAAAGCCACTCTATGATTCTATGAATATTCACTTTTCTGCATTGGCCTTACCTGCAGTGTCATCCCAGCATACTAGTGCAGAAAAACTAACCAGAATTTCAACAGGTGTCAGACTGTCCACAAGTAAATAATAGGAGACTCGATCATCAGTTGACTGTATAGAGGAAGAATAAGTTCATTTTTATTTTTTATTGAATGTTGTCTGCTCACGCACTTTTCCATTCTCAACTTTAATATGGAATTCCTATGCAAATATAATAAATTATAAGATAACTCTGCTTATTCCTAGAAATTCTTCAAAGTCTGATGGTGAATGAGCTCCTTTGCTACTGATCTGTCTTAATTTGTGTTACATTTTCTCAGTCATATCAATATATTTTTGGTGCTTCATCCTAGAATGCTATATATTGCTACTTCTTTCATAGGATAATATAAAAGTGTTCTTTTGTAACTTTGAAACAGAATTTTCCTGTTAGTTTATACAACTCAAACATATCAACTTAAAAAAAGAAAATGGTGTTACAGTAAAAGGTGATTAGGTACGTTTTAGCGCAACAGCACACAGTGTCACGTAGACTTCAGGTTAATTATAGTTTGTGAAAATATATCATGAAATGTTTCAAAAAAATTCTTATTATGTGATCATAAATATAGAGAGGTATAAAATTGAAGGTATACTATAGTTATGAAGCATAAACTATGTAGTTAACCTCAGTATAGAGTTTTACATTAAATTCATGCCTAGAGTTTGCACTTCAGAACTCTATAATTACACTTCAGTTAGAGTATGAAACTGGAGCTGGAACAGGATATTCAAGCATGTTGAATAACCCTCTGATAATAGAAACTAATGGCAGGTTTAAAGAAATACTGTAATTTTATGCAACTAAGGATATTTCTAATCCCCACAATAGAACCTCATGCATATCACCATAGGACTTAGCATGTACAGAGAAAGTATAAGGCTAAGCTAAACAGACTTCTGATTTGGGTATTAGATGACAGGTGAAGATGAAGGAAGAGAATTGAAGAAGGGATTCTGAAGCTGAATCATCACTGAATTTAATTGCTGTTTTCACTGAAGATTTAAAAAAAAAAAAAAAGATGGAGATGCAATTCAATGTAGTATATACTCTCACTACTAATGTTGATGAGTTGCATACTCCATATTTTTGAATTTATTCTGTAATGGCAATTTCTAACATATTTTGTTCTTGATTTGAACACAGAGAAACACTTCCAGGTATTTGCTAGGAAAATAATCTGTAATAATCCTAACACATTATTACATTTTCAGTAATAGTAGTTCTACATAATGTACCAATTACGCTTAGGATATATGTATTATCTAATTACCCTAAGTTTTTACAAAGACAAAAAAAAAGTACACAAAAAATTCAATAGTTATGTACCTTAAAATCTGTCTTCTGATAGTTATAAGCATATGTATGTGGCTTATGAAAAACATATAGGTTCCTAGGAAGACAAAATATATATATTATGTATTTCAGATAAATATCTGTTCCATTACATAAGTTTTTAATTAGTACATGCATTATAATCTTCCATAAGTCACTCAAAGCTATTCCTCACAAATAGTTCAAAATTATTATTTTCATTAAAGGTCAATACAGTTCACTTACAACGAAATCAGCTGATAATAACTTATACTTTTGCTGCATTTCTACAGTGCTGTATTGGAGGGCAGGCCATTGGTTTTTCTTATTAACCTATAAACTGTAAGTTGTAACAAGTTAGTATTTTTTAAGAATTTTCATGCTTAAAAGCTACTGCAATAAGTTAATAATGAAGTGTCACTGTAAGGAAGAACTCTTTCGTAAAGTTTATTAATGCCTATTCTCAATTTTCTAGTGCTTTCTTACTTACAGAAACTTTTTTTTTAAGTCTACAAATCATATCTGAAATACATTAATATTAAATAAACTACATGATTTTTGAAATAATAGATTTTTTTTTTTTTAACTTGATGGGAGAATATTAAGTTTCTTTTTTGGAGCAAATGCAGATGATTTAACAACCTTTATTGCTTTGTAATAGTGATGTTCAGACATAGAGTTTGATCAATCAGTGGCTAATGCATCTGACATAGGAGCACCTTAACTACTATGTGCTTCAAGACCTGCCATCTTCCACCCACGTCACAGTGTGGCATGTGCTTTGTGAAGCAGATGGTTATGCTCTCCAGTACTCTAGAGGGCACATGCAAGGCACCCTAGTGCTGCATCTACAGATTCACTGTCAATAGGAACAGGGTCTGAAGGGAAGCCTTGGAACTAACCTGAAAGGCAGGAAAACTATACAGAAAAGGTCTGCGAGATGATGCAGGTTTAATACAGTCACTTTTCATATTTTATCACTGTTACACTGTATATTGTATGGAATACAACACAAAATTTCTGTTCCTTACTGGAAACAAACACAGAAGTCCTCAACGCTAATCCAGGTTTCCTTGGAAACAGAAGTTTTTTCTGACTTGATTTCTTCCTTTAATTCATCCACTGCATTGCTGTTCATAACAGCATCAGCTGTTTCTGACATTTGTTTTGCATTAGAACTAAAATTCTCGTGCAATTCTTCTGCAGACATAGGAAGACACACAGATTCAATACATGGGCAACAAATACATCAAAGTAAAATCATTCTTATATAAAAAATTATCCTAAAATCACCAGGGTTTTTCCATACATCTCAGAGTTTACAAATAATAACTATAACATTAACCTAAAAAGATCAAAAGATGACTAAAGCAATTCTGTATAGCATTTTGTGGCTTCCATCTGAAACTGCTTAAGTATTCTGTCTCATTATACCATTACAAATGAAACTGTGCACTGGAATCTTTAGTATGAGCATTAAAACATTGAATCCACTGTTTCTGTTCAGTGAAAAGCTAGTGTGGCACTGTAATTTTTATAACCCACAGAAAACATAAAGGCCTATCCTTGCTGCTGGAACTCAGAATCCCTGTGATGCTACTCACATTAGTCAGTCAAACTACTTGTTAATAGAATTTAATTTCAATAATGTTAATTAATTTTCCTGAGGGAAAAATCAGAAATCTCACTATTGTCAGAATCATTCCAAAATACCTACACAGAATATCGTGTATATATGTTAATAAATGTTAACAAATCAATTTATTATTGATAACATTAACAATTGATTTGTTAACAAATCAATTTATGTTAATAAATCAATAACATTCTAAGTTGCAGTGTAATTTCACAATCTCTGATTCACATGAATTGTTATAGATGTTACTCAGTCTTCTCCATAAAGTTTTAAGCATAGCCCAGAGCAGCTGAGAATAGTAGAATATAACAGTTGAAACATTAGCAGCTGTTAACTCAGAATGCTAAGAAAAAAGCTGAGTTAATACCCAAACACACCCATATGACAAATAAGAAAGCTAATTAGAAAAACGTATAATTTATTTTTGAGTATGTGTTTTAATATTTCATGTTCATAGAAATACAGTGATCTTCTGGATAACAATGAGCTTATAAGATGGAAGTGATTGTAATTATTTTGCAACTATTTGTCAAGAATTGAAAGGAATATAATGGAAGGAAATGTGCTATAGTCCCTTTTTTTCCCTTACGGGAAAAGTGCCTGAAAGCTGTAAAATGTAGGCTTCTCCTGAGATTTGTGTAGCATGGGTTTTGAGCCTCCAGTGAAATAACCAGTATTTGTCTTAGAAACCTGCCTGTTGTAGAGACTGTGGAAAGGGGATCACCAGAGTATAACTATATCCCATAGTTCAGGAGCTATGTTAAACAGTGTTGCTCCTCTGTTCATTCTGAACACAGGGACTAGAGTGCTATCAATAGACATTGTTCAAGATCAGCTGAGTCAATAGATCTCTAAAGCTTTCAAATAGAAGATATGCTCCACCTTATTTAAAAGTCAACAGATAAACCTTTCTGTTCTGTTTCATTTATATAGACTAGGACCAGAGGGAATATAACCTTCCAAGGGCAGCTAAAGGAAAGCAAAACCAAAATGGATGAACTTTCCCCACTTTTCTTTGAAGAAACAGTGAGAATCTTGTGAGAACATCATCAAAAAAAATGCATTTTTTTTTCCATTTTTTTTTACTATGTATACCAAAGATGAACCAATGCTGTTCAAAGCATTATTTCCTGGAATCATACAGAAACACAATTCCAAAAACTCTTCATATGACGTGTATGCAAGAAGGGGTACTTCCAAGTATGAAAAAACTGCAAACACTAGGTGATATATTGAAGATACAATTTCTGGAATAAAACTGTAACTACATTTCAGCAAATCTAAAGAGCTGCTCTGTACAAATCAGTATTTTAAGGCTGACATACGGAAGATAATTTCAGCAACTAATTGCCTGTAATGATAATACAATTTATTCCTTGAAAAAATGTAACTACTAAATACAGAGGGATATAAAATGGGATAAGTGGATGATTAATTGAAAGGCAAAATAACTTGCTCCAGGCAGAACGTCAGACCAATTTAGGATTTTTTGAGGAGGTAGGATTTTTTGATAAAAACACTAATTTTTAGATAATGAAATGCAATAGGTATAACTTAGCCAGATTTCAGGAAAGCAGCTGATTTGATATCATGCTGATATTTATTAGCAAAACTGAATATGATGAGATTTGATATAAAAAGTGTAAGCAGTGTAATAAAGAGAGCAGTAATACTTATGCAAATGTAAATGCTTGCATTAGGAACACAGTTAGAAGAATTTTATTGAGAACTGGAGGCATATACATTGGAATTGATGAGTAACCTCAAGTTCTCTGCTCATTAATAAATTACAAACTGACATCAAACCATTCTTATCTCACAAGCTCAAAAAGGCATATTGGTTCTCAAAAAAATATCAGCATATGCAGAGAAGTGCCACTGCATTAGTAGCAATTCATCAGGGCTCCTGTACTAATCAGGGCTAACCAGGAATGTGGCAAAGGAATATAAACTGCAACATCAAAGACTGGTCAAAAAACAGCACCATCTAATTATGCACTTAACACACACATTCCTACTACTTTCCTACAATGTATCTATTGACTGTGCGATCCCTCAATGACTTGGATGACCTTTGGAGTGAAAGAAAAGTTTGCTCAAATTATTAACATTATGTTGCATCAGTAAGTTGATAAAACTCCTCCTCTATGATCCATATGATCACTGATTCTGATGCAACAAAAGGATATGGAGACATTTGCAACGATACTAATATTATAAAAGTGGATCATTTTATTCTAGAACCAATCTGTACACTAATTTGTAATCTTTTCTACAAGGGGCATTTCCTTACTAGGCTTTCAAGTAAACAGAACATATAGCTGTCTGGCTACCAAGGTGCACCAATTTTAGAATCAATAATGACAACAAATAGTTCAGCATTCCAGCATATGTATGGCAGGCTTTAAAGAGCCATCTATTGCCAACTATTATATTTCCATTGGGTTTTGGGCCAGAGCTAAAACAGGTACTGAGCTGTGAGTTAATAACTGAAGGATTACATTTCCAGCTCATTAACTTATAGAATTTTGATACAGTGCGATTCCCTTGTTTTGTTTCTATTTACTGAAAATATGAAAATCCTACAAAGAAATAACAAGAAAAGACATTCTAGCGCTACAGTGGTTGAAACGATTAAATGCTTTTACAAGTACAATGTTAAAATAATGATCTTTGCCTGTACTGAGCATATGTTACTTGCTTATTTTCCATCTGCACACTCTTCAAACCCTAACAGACTAAAAACAAAAATGCAACATTTATTAAAATTGAAGTTGTCCTTTTCTCTTTTACCTCAGAGAAATCAAAAACAGTTCACGTTGTTCAGAAACGGAACTCTGTGTACAAAATCCAGTATATTTTATTGGAGAATAACATTCCAATGTGAAAAGTGTTATTTTTTCAAAATATTCCTGGGAGTTAGGGAATTTTAAATACCAATATGAGGACTCCAATCTGCAGTTACACCCATTCTTTGAAGTGTTTACGACCAGAACCCATAGACTGATTATATTCTTAAAATGAAGATTAACAGTGAAATCAAATAATATGAGAATGGCAGAAATCTGAATATGAATTTCAAAAATATTTAATATTTACCTCCAGTGCGTCTCTCTGTTTTATGCTGCTCCTATATGAGGGGGAAAAAAAAGTGATTCTAATTTTGCATCATATTTTTAAAGAAAATATTTCCATTCTGCATTAGTCCTTTCTGAGCTATAAGAAATGAGCTAGCATATTATCTCTAATGGAAAAGGAAAATGAAAGCTAAGGGTATCCTTTCCTAGAAACATACGTATGGGATAAAAATGATCAACATGCCTACTCCTCTACTATTAAAAACTTTATCTGACACTACTGTTCTTCAACAAGTTCTATTCCAAGAAGTAATTAATTGCATTCTAGATGTGGTTCTATTCTATTTTGTTCTCATTCTTGGAGAGTTTATAAAGGTCTCTTCTGACAAGAATCTCTTGTTGTGCATCTATAACTGCCAATTGAAACATCATACTTGATTGCTACAGTATTTTTGGTTTTGTATCAGCAGCATAAGTAAAAAAATATCTGCAATTTTTGATAGCTTGTTTGCAAACAACTTTAATCTGGCCATTGCCTTTTCAAAGCTAGAGGAGCTGAATTAACATGACTGAAGATGAAATCCAGTTAGCCTGCCTTGAAAGTCCACTTTGCACTAAGCTATCAGTGGGTTAATTGGACTAACTTTACCTTTGCGAAGGAAAATAGTGAAGCCTAGAATGTCTGTTACAGATTTTGCAATCATCTTTTCACTCCAGCTCTCCACTTAACAAACACTGTCACCTCCCCTCCACCCAAAATCCTCATCTATATTCATTTCTGTCTATGGCAGAAGTGCTAATGCAGAAGTTGACAGCACTGAGCATCTACATAAACGTGGTAATTTCCTGCTTAAAAATGAAAACAAAGTTATTGATGCTCAGTATAATACAACATGAAATTCTACAAACTGGCAATAAGCTAGTTATTTGAGGATACCAAGGTTGCTCTTTCAGCATTTGCTATTTCTAATCAGATGCGTAATTATTTATATGCATATTGTTATTTTCAGCTTCAAAACTAGAGAAAGAAAACTCTCCAATAATAAATCTCCTAGAGATACCCATAGTTTTTTTTTTTAATTAAAACATTCAAGATGGGAAACAAAGAAGATTGTTCTGCAAGTTAAAAACTTTTTTCTTTTTTCATCAGTTCAAATGCAGTTCTACCTACATACCACAGCTATTAATGGCCTCAACATTTTTCAGATAGTATTTAAACTGAGGCAAAGGCAAGGTTCAAGAACAAGTTAACTAGCTGCTCATAACTTCTTACATTTCACCTCTGAATCAGACTGCCCTCAGACTAAATCATATTCACGTCTTCTTACCACTCTTTTTTTTGATCACTATCTCTTTCATGTATTTTCTTACTCACCCTTGAATTTCCTTGTTTGCATGCCCTACTCTGACAGAGCAGCTTTCTACAATCAGAATGGCTCTTAACTCCAAGACCAGAGGAGAAAAGCAAGGTGATATTCTAAACTGTTTCTATGCCTCTAGCAAACAGATGTCTATTACTTTACAATTAACTAAATCTGTATTTGTTCAGCTATAGAGACAGAAGTAACCCAACCAATAGTTATAATACTACTTACAGAACCTTTTTGTCCTGCTGCTTTTGTAACGGTTTTTGTAATTTGCCATAATTAAAAACACTTCTTTTAAAAGAACATGAAATATGATTACATATATTGTTTGTAAATGAGCACAGAATGCAGAGTAGCCAAAAACATCTTACTGCAAAGAACTTTCCTTCACTACAGCACTGCCTTATTTTTAACTAATAAATAACCAATAAATAATATCTAAACACATGTACACTTTCTACACATACAATGGGCACAGAACAGTGTAAGAAGAAATGAGTTTAAGGTCTGAAATATAAAAATTACATTATAATATATTCTGAAGAGGAAACATGCAAATAAGTACTCCAAAATTATATAGCAAAATATTTTCTTTTTACTTCAAATTCTACCAGAATTAATAATTGAGTTTTCTTTGTCTATGAAGATACCTAATACTGTCTTCAGCAGTATGCCTGTGGTCTTCAAACACATTATGCAACTCTATACATCAAGTTACTGTACCTCAAACAAATTTCAGAAATGTTACTGCATGCATATTTATCAGTTTGTCCAAGAAAGAGACTGCAGAAGTTTTAAAATAATTGAGAGATCTTTTCTACAAGATTGTAAAGGTCAGCATTTTGAGGCTGTTTTCCCTTCATGTAGCCCTTTGGATGGACGTATTTTATAGAGTCTTTTAAAGAATTTTCTATACTGTAATCATATTGAACGTAAAAAGCACTACTTGGGACAGAAATAAAAGCAGACAGGAATAACTGCAGTAAACACAAGTTGGGAGCACATCTTTTCCAAAATATAATTGTTTTTCTGGTTAGATGCAGATTTTTACTTGTAAAAAAGGCATTTTTATACATACTAGGCAGCTTTTCCCCTTCAGTTTTCTAAAAGTCAAAGGAAGAAATGCTATCAGATGCTCTTATGACCACTGTTTGCCACACTAAGTATGAAATTGATGAGATAATGGCACTGACAATCTGGATTTGTTTGTAGATGTTGAGTAAATGAAACTACATTCATCAAGCTTTGTTTGTTTGAATATTTAAATCTAATTTATCTTTGCTGCAAATCAGTTTTCTGTATAAAGTATTACACATGAAACAGTGTGTTATCCAGAAAGTCTTTGTTTGAAAGCATCCTTTGTTCAAAACATAAGGTTTAAATACTACATCGAGCCTTCTGTTGGAGGCTTATTTGAAAGCAGACTTTGGTAGTATATGTAAAGAACAAGGTACAAAGCAATTTAAAACAAAATTGACAACAACAAAAAATAGCGGTTACATCTGCCGAAAGTAATTCTAGTAACATCCCACTGATATTAGGTAAGATTCATATTGCCTGTCTTGGAAAACTACAGTGGAGATGAGTAACTAGTAATCCTTAGCGACCGGCATTTTCCTCTGTGGAGGCACTTGGCAAGCAGTGCTGAGCGTGCTGCCTCTACCTAGTGAACTTTTGGAGGAATGTGGCTTTCAATGAAGAATCATGTAAGGATGTGATTTAAGGCATGTGTTTACAAAGTTTACATTTTTCAAGTTGACACATACCATCCTTCACTGCAGCTGAAATAGCATAATTGAAATACGAGAGTCCATGAATCAAACACTTATAAAGACATGATTCTCACTAAGACTGTCCCATCAGATGTATTTTAAAGTGCAAAACCAAAATATTCTATTGTATTAGCATGTTACTTTTAGAATCTAAAGAATAAGTAATAAAAAATGACTTTTAAATGAAAAGTATTAGCAAAAGATCTCCCATGCATCAATGAAACTAGTAACTGGAACAGAGGGAATTTACTGAAATATGGCAGGGTGGGTGAGGAAGCTTACAAAGGTGTCTTTTAAAACCTATATTTAAGAATCAAGTATTACCTATTTCTTCTTTCACTGTCTTTAGGAACATAAAACTAGGTCAAGTAAAAATAAATAAGTAAATAAGAAAAAAAGAAAATTAAATGATTACCTGAGAATAATCTTCCACATTTGAGCGTCTCCCACTTTGATTCATTTCCACATTACTGTCATCTACATTTTCATTGCTTTCAGTGACAGAAGGGAGATGGGTCATCAAATGAAATCCTTTTTGGATGGTAGACTGTGTGAAGGAGCTAAATAATAAAAGAAAGCTCAGATGCTTTAACCCACATATTTGCTTTCAAATCGCAGATTTCATAACTATTTTTTTTGAAACAGAATTCTATCAGAATAACTTGTATCTCCTTTATTTCAATAGCTTAATAAGGCAGTACAAAATGTATATATGCATATATTCCTTATAGTTACTGGCTTAGTACCACACACATACACGTGTTTGTAAGATGTGAACTGTTGTCTTCTCCAATAATCTTCAACAAAACAAAATCCATGCCAGCTGATGAAAACCAGATGATAATACCAGAAATGAAAGCTCGCAGAAAGAAAAACAAATACAAAGGTAGGGCAAAAAAGTTTGAAACATAAGGCCAACTTTGGCCATGATAAAAGGAAATTCTGCCTCTGGGTTCAGTGGAGGCAGAAGTAAAAACTGAAATATAGAAACATAGAAGTACAAGTAATTCCATCCAAGTTAAGCAAATTAGGAAAGCGATATCAAAACAATGGTGCAAACATGCAATTAGATGTAATTGTGTTGGCAACAATGAAGAACAGAAAAAATGTTGGTGTTATCTAACTCCTGTCTTAAGGATTGATACAACAAAACTTCAAGATCCTTAGTGATAACAGCGTTACAATTATCATCCCTTTGAGTGCTTAAAAAAAAACGTTATTAGAATAAAAGCAAGAGAAGAAAAACAAGTTCAGCCCCAGTTATGTATAAAAGTCCTTCATCGTATCTAGGTGGCTATGTTACTTGAACAAAATGCCAATTCCTGCTACATATTTTTTGTTACTACCTTTAATTAAATCACAAGAGACTAAATTAGAGGATTGCCATAGAAACTTAGACTGTCTAATAAATCATCCTCAAGTAAATAGTGTAAATTGATTATAAAGGAACTCATTAAATATGGAAAATAGATAAAATATGCTAACATACAAATATTACATCATCTTAATTTTTACTCTCTCTTTCCTTCAATAATGCATTCATGCGTATTGCTTATAATATTTATGTGTCTTTATTCCTACAAACAACTAATTTACTGTATTTTAACCAGCAAAAAGCATCTCAATCAGCAAAAGAATATTCCCAGAGTATTTCATAATAATCCAAAGTCATTTCTGCAATGGTCATATGTTGCTCTTCAAAAAATATCTAACTGATGTATTATCAGCCCAATCAATCACTATGACCGAAATGCAGACTATGACAGAACCTGTCAAATATGCAGTTTCTTCAGAGTACCTACAGCTGTATTTAACAAAAATTGCACATGTATTTTTACAGCAAAAATTACTAACAGTGTAATGTTGCTGATAAAACTATGGAATACTTACATATCTTTGGGTATTTTGATAGGACTGAATTTGTGATTTAAAAAAAGGCTAGCAACCTCAACATATTGTTCAGGTTTCTCTAACACAGGTTCTAGGAAAAAACAAAACAAAACAACTTGTTAAATATATATTCACATGAAATATTTAATACTTGACACATGATTTCCATAGGTGATTACTCACCCTTAAATAATTTTATTAGGACTTCAGGAAGTAATATCCAAGCACCATGGCATGGTCTTGAATAGAACCATAGAATAATGGAAAGGCTTGTGTTGGGCCCATCCAGCCTGGCCTTGAACACCTGCACGGATGGGGCATCCACAACCTTTCTGGGCAGCCTGTTCCAGCACCTCACCATATAGAAGAATACGTCATATAGACATAGAATGTCTATAGAATAGAATGACCAGGGTGGTTTTAGCTGATGTATCACAGGAAAATAATGCGCTTAACGCTCTGACCCTCAGCTTGCAATGTATTAGAAGTGTGTTCAGCCTACCTGTAAATGTATAAAAGTAGCTCGGAACTAAAGCAGGACATTCTGCCTTTGATTTCCTGCTTCTTACGCCAGTCTATTTTGTTAGCATGCCTGTAAAGCCTTCATATTCAAGCTAGCTCATACTATGTACTTAATTCCATTGTGCAGAACAGATAAGCCCCAGAATAGATTTAGCCTTAAAACTATTAACAGTTGCAGAAGGACAACTTTCATACTTCAAATGTACAAAAGGTATTCAGAAGCTTTCATGGCTCTGCGTTGGAGTTTCTGCATTGCTCTGATAACATTCTCTCTTCAATTTCTCCAGTACCAAAGACTAATTTCTTGGAGACAGATTAGACACTTCTCAAAGCATTTAAGAAATAACAGATCTAAGGTGAAGTATTATAAAAATAGCAAAAAATAAAAATAAAAAAAGAGAGAAAAAGTAATCGCTAACACAGTTCTTTATAAATTATGCTAACATAACTATGTCCTTGAAAACGTTTATAATGACAAACATGTATTTTAAAATTGATTTAATAGACAAACCTTGAGGTTCAGATTTTGCAACAGTTGTTTTTTTCTGACGGAAAAGCTTCCAGGGAGCAACTGGTAATGCTGGTTGCTTTGCGGCTTCCAGGGAGCAGGATCTAGTTCTAGTAACCAGGACGGGATGGCTGTATGCTTGTGAAAGCCCATACTGTCTTAGCTTCTCTGAAGAATCAGTCTACAAAACATGGAAATAAAACCTGATTGGCAATAGCTCTCCTTTCTCATCATCTCTCATGAACAAACAGAATGCACAGAGAAGTATCCAGTGGTTTGGGTAACAAATAAAATGAAAAAATGGCTTGACAGAATTATCCAAAAGCAATTAGGATTGATATTCAGCATAAAAGGTATAATTGATTACTTAGAAGCGTTTACATATAGTTTACTTTTTGTGAAAGATTCACCTCATCTTTAAACTTCTCTGTACAATTGTATTCCTTTAGGTGCTACAGAAAGCACAAGTGGAGATAAGCATAAGTAAGAAAAGTACACTGACAACATTTTGCTTTAAATAAACATGTCACAGGTAGTTTTTCTTTTCTGAAACAAGTCCTTACTTCATGCTGAATTTATAAAGAAGCAGAATTCTAAAAGTGACAGGTCTTTTAGATAATTTGTGATGTCTTCATAATGTAACATCAGTTTGAACAAATATGCCATTAAAGTCAAGTATTTTATCTCCTGGTTAATTTACAAAATGCATTGAAGGCACTACAGCTGAGCTTTCTAACTGAAGCCCCTAGCAAAGAACTTAAGAGCAGTTATAGATGTGGACATTGAGTGGTGCTCTTCCCATTAAAATAACAATGCTTCAGTACACAAGTTTTTTGGTTTTTTTTTTTTTTTTCCTCTGCAAAAAGTTCTGTTTCAAGTTTTATGTAGCTTTACTTTGTTTTCAAAAACACACCTTATTTCAATTGCTAAATAAATCAGTAATTTCCTGATTGCTCCTTCTCATTACCACGTGTTCCTCAGGTGGCACAATTACAAGCGACGCAGAGCAGACTGTGGTTGTGATTGTCAGAGATATTTAAAAGGAGAGGATCAAATAAAATTACATTAAACGCTCTAAGGTACTCAGGCAACATATTTCTGCATTTATAGAGGTATATTATGAGTGTGGTGACTAGCTACACACACATCCAAACAACTTAAAAATGAAAGCAAAAACATATGAAATTAAAAAGGATTTGAAAGAAGACCAGATAGATGCTGTAAAGGAAAACTTGTCAGTTGCCGAGTAGAAGACACAGTTGAATGAAACAAACTATTGAGGGCATATAAACTAGAAAGCTCAGCCAAAGAGGAAAAAGCAAAATGTTTGGAGTGAAATTCTGGTACAATTACAGACAATAACAACATTTCTGCAACAATTCCTTCCTTTTTCTAAACTGTAATTTCCATTGTTGAAGCACTTCTCAGCCCCACAAAGAAAGCCTGAAAATGGGCTTTATTAAAGGAGGACCACAGTAAATCCACTACATTTGTATATCTACTCTTACCTTCCATCTTCCTATCAGTCTTTACTGAAATACTGTTTTAGACATATAGATTCCTCTACCTCATCCTATTTGGTCTGCCATGATGAAATACTCTTTTCCAGAAATCTCTGTACCCTAAAAAACTGCAGCCAAGTCTGAGGGCAAAGGCCTCAGACGGCAGGAAATACATAACCCCCATGTCACTGTTCCCCATTTGCTTTTTTGATTACTAATACCCTTTCCATTCAGAAGCATCTCATCATGATGCATTTTTTCATTCCATGCCTTGTTGTCCAGAGACTTCAGCTCTTAAGATGTACGTGGAGTGTAACTGAAAAATAAGCAGGGTCATGGCAGGAAAACACATGATCAGAATCTAAGAGGATTTAAGCAAAAAAAAAACTGAGTTGATAATCACTACCCGGTGTCCATTTGACTACATTAACTATTATCATTATTTTTTACAGTGCAACTGTCACAAAATTAAACATTCTGATAATAAACATATAACGCTTATTTTCCCCAAGGGTACAGGATTACCATCTGAACTAAGGAAAAAATCTTCTCTTCAGACAAATGTAATGGTATACAAACAGCATAGACTGCCATTTCTGGATGGGTTGGCACAGAAGAACCTACGGAGAAAACAAAATGTTTCAGAACAAGTTCAATCATAAATAAACATTGTGATCCATCCGTTATTCAGCTTTCTCTGCCTTGTTTTCATTATTCTTCTTTCTGACAGTTATTTCATTCAAAACGAGATTATTGTAAAAATAAGAGAATGGTTTCGGAAGAGAAGCCATGGATGGAAGAAAAACCCAACAGCATCATTTTAATCAAACAGCTCTTACATATTTTACAGTTTTTATAAAAATGAATAACAAAAACTACAACTTCAAAATACAACAGGTCAGAAGTTGCTCTTGTACATATCCGCTTATTTCTCTTCAAAATTTAAAAATACTGGATACTAGCATGAAGTACACTGATTGGCAAGTTCTTGCTAAAGGCCTCTCAAAAGTGACAAAAAAGACTGATTTTACCAACAAAAGGATCAAAAACCTGAGCTCTAACACTTCCTACTGACAAGTTTGAAGAATGAGGTAACATTTTGAGAAACAGTGGTCAAAAGCTGGAGTTACTGCCCTTAATCTGCCAAGGAGATAGGAAAATTAGGTAATTATAGCTGGTGCTTCAGGAATTGAGGGGGTCCCCCATACAGTTTGTTACCCCTAGACATCCCTTGTACTAGGCAACTGCACAATCTTCTCACATCTATAACTGAAAGAAGCCATTGTTACCTCAGAATGATAAAGAGAAACCAAGACTGGCTGATAGCCAGTACAAAAACGCTGAAGAAAAATGTTAGAAGTCTAAAACCTATAGCATTATAAATATGGATGTGCACTTCCACCTGAAGGTCATCTCATAAAGAAGTATATCAATTTATCCACGTCTCTTTCCTTAGTCAACTAAGGAAGCGTGCAAAGACAGCATTTTAGTGTAGGCACTGTGACACCTGGCATAAGGTTTTGTCTTTGCTCCTTTCAGTTCCACTTCAAATGTTGGATAACTATTTCCTAATTTTATGTATGCCTATTGAATGTCAAACTGGAAGTTGCTTTAGGAATAAGTTCTTTTATGTGTGTGAAATGGAATAAGTCAATGCTGTTTGCATACAAAGAAAAAACATTGGAAATGAGAAGAATGGAAAAGGAGAGTTGGCATGTGGCTGGAAAGTACAATTTATCAGACTTTTAAAAAGCCATTTATTTAGAAGACATCAACATCTTTTTCTCAAAGCTGTAACACATCAGCATATTAAATACTTTTTTGGGAATTCCACTTCTTGATAAAATATATGTTGATAGTATGTCAGAATGTGCAAAGCAAGACTTTACTTAATTTTTAGAGTACTGTAAATGTAACAATATTGAAAAAAAAATTGTAATCAAAATGTAATTCTCTAAGGAATTTATTTTTTATTTACTTTTCTTTAGAAGTATGTTACACAGTAATTTCAAATGAATATTTCTGGCCACCCAGCCATTCAGCAAAGAATATTCCTAGTTGTTGAAGGAACATTTCCCAGTTATGATCTACTGACTAAAGTAGAGACTGAAAACATATTATTACAGAATAAGCTTTGCATTTTTTAGTAAAAAGACAGTTTTCCACTAGAAAAAAATCTTGGTCTTACAAGACTTGCCTGGAACTTCCAATTGTTCTGTTTAGATTTGCTTTACCTTTCAGCATCAAATACATATGACATGAAAATATTGCAGAAATATATTCATAGGTTAGAAGGACTTCAGATTTTATCACATCTCGTGAAGGTTGCACCAACAATTTTAAAAGAAGTATATTTAATCTTCCCCCAGTTAAGTTAGAAAACAAACAAAAAACAAAGTCTCTTTCTTTACATTTATATTTTTAGCTTTGATAGCACTTACTCTCAGCTAAAGATTGAGGAGAACACTGCACTTCTGTTGATGGTTCTGAAGCATGAAGCACTGACTTGTTTTTTTCCTTTTCTCCATCTCTACTTTTCTTCTTCCCGGTTTCCTTCTGCTCTGCTTTTTCTGTGAATCAGAATGAAGATTAAATAGATTTTCTCTTTCAGAGGATTCTGCCAGGAATGTTTCTAACATGACATGGAAGAAGCAAGAGGCAAAACCTTGGACTATAGGAAAAAAAACCCTCAGATTACAGGAAAATATATCTCTAATTTTAGAAATTTGAAAAGTTTAACAGAGCATCCAAACACAGTTTGCAGCCTCAAAGATGGACATTACAGAGCTTTACTTAACGTAGCATTTCCCTGATCCTTAGCTATTTCAATTACTGATACAATTTCTAAATCTTAGGCAGCACTAAATTTACAAAATTTTCTGTGAATATACAACCCAGCCCATTGAATGAACGACAGTGCTGTTCTCAGCAACTGCATCTTGCTGCATGTCCATTCCTAACTCTGAAATATCTTCTACACTAATGGGTGAGCTGCAAAATAATAACAAGAGCTCCTGAGTAGAGATCTCAGCCAGGTCTCTTTAAAATGTTCCTAAAACCTTTGACATAGTATTTGGGATTCAAAGCTAGCTAGGAAGGTAGTTTTTTCAATGGGAAGAAATAGAAATTTCAGAGTACGATTTCTATTTTTCACTAATATTAAGTGAAATTGCATCCATGCCTAACTTAAAAGTCAAAAGCAGAAGATCAGAAAACTCAGCCTCAAGCATAAATGTTACAGGTACAAATACATTTCTAAGCATCAGTATTTTCATTTAGCATTTCTTGAAGAAAATTAATACCTAGTAGCATAACAGAAAAGTTACCATAAATAAAAATGTAGACAAACATTAGTATGTGGATGTCAGTACATTCTATATGCAATCACTCTTTCTGACACCCATCATGAGATATATATTTTCTGGATGGCCTGAACAGCTGTCTTTGGGGAGACTAACTTCTTCAATTATAATCTCTCTGCAAGGAACATTGTATTCCTTCTGTGAAACACCGCTTCTAGTGAGGTCCATAGTTAAAACACAGCTTCTTTGAATTCACAGCATTGCAAAACATTTGGCAAAACAAACCAACAGACTTTCAGGTGGCATAATAAAGATATATAAACTTGAAGACAGGTTATGTTAACTTCATTTACGCTCAACCTGCAAAGATAACACTACCTACAACTACAGACCTTTGTCAGATTTCTCTGCTTTCTCAGGTTTATCTGGCTGTTTGTTCACAGATGAAATTTCATTTTTCAACACTGAGACTTTGGCCTCCTTAGGTTTTGTATTTGCCTGAGAAGTATTCTCATCTGTCCACTTAAATTCTGGCACAATCATTTTCAGAAGGTCCCAGACTTTATCCAAGTATCCAAGCCTTAAAATAAAAATAAACATATATATATATCTCACTGTTAATGATATTTGGAATAAGAATGTCTGATCTTCATTTAGACAAAACTATAATACATCTGGCAGTCCAACTCTTGGAAAAATTACCGAGTGATTTTAGTAAATAAAACGCATTTGCCTGATTTTGTGTGGCAGCCAAGAGGGAAAAAAAAAGTAAAACAACAATGACAAAATGATCAACAAAACGCCCAACACTTTGTTAACAGACAAATCCATAAGGAAAGAGATGGTGTTTGCAGAACCAAGTAAATCAGGCATCTTTTCCTCAAGCTTTCTAGCATATAAAAGTTGTGGCAGGAAAATTTGAAGAGCATTTTGCAAGTACACTGCATAATTATCTGATTCTGGCTCTGTGCATTAAAAATGTCTTCTTGAAGGTACTTCCAGAAAACATTTTCCTAACTGTCTCAACACAGGCTGTTCTACACCTCTTCCACTGTTTCCACCATCTACAACAAGGTTTTGACAGGACATTGCAGTTTCTGCTGCATCAGTTCACCACGGAAACACAATGATTCCAGAAATAATCTAAAACTGAAGAAATGATAAATAAGTTTAATGCAAGCTAACAGAAGGAAACTTTCTTTTTACAAGTAAACAACTGATTGTACAACAAGCTAGACCCATTTTTATATCACTACTGCAAAAATTCAATGGTATTCACATTTTCTTTTTGCATAATTTAATGTTTGCTTTACATGTCAGATTCATGAATACTGTTCTTATTGTTTCTATTTTAAAAATTAACTACATAAAGAAGCAAAATCAAGGTTGTCAGATTTCTACGTCCATGGAATGCAGACACACTACCAGGTAAAAACCTAAATACATAAAAAAATCTAAGCTGCAAGCATAGCCCATGAGTGCTGAAATAACAGATGAGATTGAGCATGACTGAACTTATTTAATTTTGAAATATTGTCATAAATAAACAATTTTACCTAAACATAAATAAACCAACATTATTATTTCTATATACTCATTAGAGTGTATCTGTCAAACAGCAAAATTAAAAAAAAAGAGCATAAAAAAAAAGTCTAGATGGTTAGAGCAGGCATCCCCAGTTATTCATTTGATAAAAATATAATGATATCAAGCTGTAAAAAAATCAGAATGCCATTATGTTAATGGACTTAAAACTTAAGAAACAAGGAAAAAAAAATATTGTTGTAGGTTGGAAATACTATTTTTGGAAATAGAAGTGTAGCAAGTATTCCAATTTAAAATAAAAGAAATCACATCAGATGGATTACTTTCAAATTCAAATTCAAGTAGTATATTCTTAATAGTACATTAATATATAAAGCTATCAGTATTACTGGCACATATTTTATATCTTTTTGATCTTGTATACAGATATCTCTCACCCTGTTTTCACCACAGGGTTCATTATTAATCCAAAATAAATTCATTTAAGAAAGAATAATAATCATAAATAAGTTTACAAGCAACTGAATTACATGCAAATAAAAACACAACAAAACTGCATTGCTTGAAGGCAAGTTCTAGAATTAAAACCTTACAGTCCCCAAAACTGACAAAGAAGGACTTCTAGGACTCAGCTTAATTTTCATTATCCTTTATAGAACTATATAATTAACAAATATATGAATTGTCTAATATAAAAACTTACTGGAGAGGAATAACTTCTGGTATCCATCCAGTCAGTGCATGTAGAACTGTAAATTCCTCCAGCTCTCTTTTCTCATTTTCACGTAAACTGTAAGACAAAAACAGACATTACATAGACCTATATTATAATCAATTCATAGTAAACTCTTAGCCTACACTGAAAGATCATACATAATCAGAAAAGGGAACTGCTTAAAATCAAATAGTTAATGGCAATTTTCCAGCCCACAGGTGACTGGCCTACAGGTTCTATTTGCTCCTGTGCCTTTGCATTAAGACTGTTCTATTAGTGCTCCCTTCTGTACAATGGCATCATTTCAACATAGTTAGCAAGTACATCTATACCAACACACAGAAAAGTCTCTTTTTGCAGTGTTGGAGAACTGGGTCTGAAATCCCATCATACCCACAGGGGATAAAAGTCTAACACTTCCTTTCCCCGAGCAACTGCTCTGAGTGCCAGATTTCCATACAACATTTGGATGCATTTCCAGTAGAACACATATAACTCTCAAATGGATCTATGCGCAGAGTGGAGTACAAGAGGCTGGAAAGCAGCCCCGTGGAAAGGGATCTGGGGGTTCTGGCTGAAGGCAAGTTGAACATGAGCCAGCAGTGAGCCCTGGCAGCCAAAAGGGCCAACTGTACCCTGGGGTGGGTGAGGCCCAATGCTGCCATTGAGAGAGGAAAGGAGTTGTCCTCTCTGCTCTGTGCTGTGTGGCCTCACCTCAAGCAGAGTGTGGGTTCATGTGCCACAATGTGAAAAGGACATAAAGCTTTTAGAGAGCATCCAAAGAAGGGCTATGAAGATTTGCACTTTAAAGGCCTTTTTCCTATCAGGCCAAGCATTTTTTTTTTTTTTTTTTTTTTTAAATAAATGCTAGCAAAACATTCTGCAAGCATCTTTTATATTACTGTATAATACATTTTTATCTATAATGCTTACTATTGTTAAAATAAAAGCCCTTTGGCATTCCAGTTTGATTAGTTCATTTTGTCTTTCAAAGTGTATGTAACAATAATATATAAAAAAAGTTCTTAAACAAAGGAAATATCCAGCAAATAACCTAGAATGTACACTAAATGATTAAACTTCCATGAGACTTAGTTCAATAAATCTAAAACATTAGGCATAATAAGGTGCAAGACCTGACCTTCAGAATACGCTGCTAATAAAAGTCCACCAAAAATAAAATATTGTAACATATACAGTGCTTCATGTTGAAAAACACCACTCCATTGCTTTCCCTCTTTATTCTATTCAAAATTATTAATATTTGAAAGGGCAATTTTTAAGCTAAAACAAAGTATAATTTTTAGAATTTTAAATTACCCTGAAGTACTTCTAAACAACTTCATTTGTCCAAAGTATATTTTTCCTCTCCTACAGCAATGAGCTTGAGTGCCTCCTTCTTTTTCTCCCTCTTCTGCTTATGTACTCTGTTTCAACTGTGAATGTATTCTCCCTCAAAGGTGAGCTGGAAAGTCAGAATGCCCATCAGGATGCACTGCTGTTCCTCTTGAACTGCATGAAGGAGACTTTCCTTCCTTCCTTTGAAAACAAGATGCCTTTTTGCCTACCCCAGAGGGACAAATATTCTGTCTCCATAGTCCTTCAACTTTTCCATCTCACCAAACAGGACAACCATCAAGGACATTGCAGATTACCATCTTCAGTCCTCTTGGATCAGATTCCATTATGTCATTTCTTGTAATTCTAGAGCAGCTAGTAGCTTTTTTTTTTTTTTTTAAACAAATAAGCAATATATTAACTGCCCATATTACATCACAAGCACTACTTCATTAGAACATCTTGAATATTTCCATTTGACAGAAAAAAACCCCACATGTTAAGAGGTTTGTGAATAATAGCAAAGAACTAAAGCAGATAAGGAGATGACTCCAGTTTTGCTGCTGTTTTTTTGTCTGTTTTGTGGTGGATTTTTTTTTTTAGTTTTCTGTGCATAAGTACACAAACACACATTTTAAAATTAAAAAAAGTACCTTCTGTTCCCACAGAGAGCCTCACTTTACTGATCTACTATTTCAACTTTCAGAAATGTATTTCTCATTATAAAACTTTCAGTGAAATATATTCCCCACATGTACTAATTTTTTTTTTCAAATCCCATACAATTTCACACACACAAAAAAAAGCAACCTGAGAGAGTTGACTAAAACATACCTAGTATTTGCCAGCTTAATTATAGCTTTAGACAGCAGCATTGGCCAAAGTTCAGTTTGACATGTTGTAGCTGGCAGTAACAAATTACCCTCTTCACTAAAAGGCATAGTGTCATCCACAGTGATCTTTCTCCAGCAGCCCTATGGTGGAGGGGAAAAAAGGAAGAAAAAAACACTGAACTTGTAATCCAGAAACAGAACACGTATGTAAGAGAATTCTGTTTTCCCACAAATTGAATTCTACTGTAATTTGATCTATATTATGGATTTTCATATAATATCACAGAAGTAATGAAACAGTCTCATAGCATTTTATTACTACTCAGACTTTTTACAGTCTGTTTTACTGAGCTTAGTCTAATTGCAGCTATTCTAACTGCATCTATTCTACACGATTTGCAAAAAAAATAATTTTTCCTTATCAGTTAACCACTGGTTCTATCAAGTACTAAGTTGTAAAAAAATAAATAAATAACTGTTTAATGAATTTTCACTAACATGCACCAAAAATTCATCGAAACTTCTCCTCCTGCAAATGTCTTTTCAACAATTATACATTTTATTCCTAATGTATAAATGTATGCTGCTAAATGCATAAAATTTATACATGGCTGAAGGTAAGTACTCACCATCCAATACAATTTCACTACATATTTTCCATAGCTATTGTACAGAGGCATGTGTCCCTTAGCAGTTTTAGTGGAGGGATAAATATGTTCCCACGGCCTCCAAAACAGCGTGGATGTTCCAATAGACAAGGCTTTTTCATTAGATATTTTCCAGAGAGCACAAATCTCACTTATAATCCATCGCATCAGCTGAAAGCAAATAGAAATACATCAACAAAAAAAAATTCTGCTTATATTTTCTAATTAAATTAATTTACATTAGCATGATGAGCAAATAAAAATGACTCCTGTTTTAAATGAAGAAATGACACAAAACCATAAGCAATGGCTTACTGAAAAAAAAAAAAAAAATCAGATAAATTTTTCTGAAAATCTTGTTTAACGAAGAATTTTATTACAGTGAGTACAGGCACACAACAAATAATGCTGCTTGTCACTTGCCAAAGAACAATGGGAAGATGTGTTTTCAAATGGTAACAATTTTTAAAATTTCAAATTTGAGTTTTAATTAATTTAATTAATTTTAGATCCTGTTTTATTTCTTTTTAAGATACAGATCTACTAAATATGCTATAGCTTCAAAAGTATTACCAGCCTGGTAATATAATGGTTTATTTGGAAAAAATAAGAATACCTTTTTACAAGAACAAACTTGTACTAAATTGGTGATTCTGATTGACCACAAAGATTAAAAAGAGATGAGAATAAATAAAGATAGACAAACAAAGAAATAAACAAGCAACACACAAATAAAAACTAAATATTTCTGTATTTCCACCTACCTCACTACAAAATAAATGTTCATTTGCTGAAAAAAGGTCACATGAGATCTCATTTTTGACCACCACAGGAGTCTAGGAGAAAGTAGATTAGTTAAAATTAATTAGTCTATAGCTAAATTATCAGAAAAAAATTGAACAGTAATGACATAAAAAAAATCAGATATTTTGCAAGCTTTTATTAGACTTTCACAAACTAAAGGCTACTGGCTTAGAAATCTTTTAGCTGTCTTGGTGTTTCTTAAAAGTGTCTTTAAACGCAGACGTTCAGAATTAAAACTACTAATTGTTCTTATCAGATTTAAAAGTAGAAACAAAAGCATATAGAGATTTCATCAGATTAGTCACAATATTAGCAGTTCTGCACTTAAATATCAATGATAACATTGTTTCATACTCCAAGATTTCCCTGCGCCTCCAATGTGATGCAAAAGTTCATTTAGATTGTTTGCTTGTTTTCTTAATTTCCTATCAAATGCTGAAAGTTTGTCTACATTTCATACTGTAAGGGGCAAAACAGTAGAGAGTAGAAATCAAATCATTTCTTTCAGAGCAGCCCATCCATAAGTACTCAAACTTTTATTTGAATTACATAATTTTGATTACTAATACTCATGTATGCAGTCGATTTCCTCCTTGCAAGCATTTTAGAAATACTATATTAGGGTTGTATTTTACTGAACTAAGTATCCCTGTGCCTCTCATCACTTATTGGTGATCACTGCTTGATTCTATGTTTATCACACTAAATAGCACTTAATAGCCTTCCATCACTTCAGATTCACATTAAGTTTTAATAACTTACAATACTCCTCATCACTATCACTATTTGATCCAAAACACATTGAACTATAACAACCACCTAAGTTTAATCAGCTCTTAAAGCCAACCTCTTCTTCACAGTGGTCTAAATATAGTTTTGAATTTATTTTTAATATAGAGACATGTTTCCATGGCTTTCTGTGCTCCTGCCCTTATCTTTTAGATCCCTCTACTCCGTTTATGTGTGTTGGCAGCACTTCTCATCCAATCTTCCAGTCTTGTCAGTTACCTCCCTGATTTCTTCCATTCCTCCATTAAAAATGAATCTTGGAGCTGCTTAGTGTCTAGTTAATAAGAAATAAAACTGACAAGCTGATAAAAGGAAAAATGACAACATTAAAAATGTTTAAGGATGATCACAGTGCTTAAAAACTTTGTTTAATTTGAAGAAAAAATGCTTTAAACCTAAAAAAAAATCAACAACTGCACTGGAGAACGCTCCAACCTTTGAAATTGGAGGCTGCTTGTTTTCTTTGCAATTCATTTAAAAATGAAAATGAAGAAAAGCTTTGCACAATTTTAAAATATTCTGTTTACCTTCCAAACAAGTACTGTCAAAGATGTAGACACATTCTGAATGCATACAGTTGAAATGCAATATTTAAGGTGGGAGAGTGAGAAGTACTATGTTAACACTAAGTTAATCCATGATTTCAGAAAAAGATATTTTACTGCTCAAGATGTCTTAGCTGGAACAAAGAAAGCTTGTTTTGCCATAACACTGATGTTTAAAAGTGAGAAAACAGGAACACAAAACAAGATGACATCTCTCTCATCAGGCGCTTTTTAAAAGAACATCGAGGAAAAAAGCAGAGCAGAGATGGAAGGGTACAATACCATGTTGTTTTGTACCAGGAAGTGCTGGTGCACTCAGACACTGTAAATTATCATTTAAAACATTATGTATTACAGCCAACACTATAAAGAAAGGTATTAAACTTTACATCCCTTCAGATGCTGTGAACCCTAGGATGCGCATGCACGTTAACCACTGTGCAGATTAACAGCTCCTGGATGCACAACAGTCACACGATCAGGACGACTACACATGATCATGTGGATACAAATACCTCCATCTTTTGAAGTAATTTCCTCTGCTCTTGTGACGTAGCTGGGTAGACTTTGTTTCCATTATGATTTGATTATTTCTTACCTCATTTGCTGAAAACTCTTGTGGTCGTTTCCACGAATGTACTTTTAAGGATGCTGGCAATTCTATTTTTCCTTCAGGATCATCAAAGACAAGCTATGTAAAAAACACACACACAAAACAAAGAAAAAGTAACTTAAAAAAAAATTAATTAGCCTATGGTGTTTTCCACAAGATGTAAGTAATTTTTTGTTTACACGATATCTATAACAGGATTAAAACAATGTAAAGTCCAAACTGACAATTCAGCACAAAAACTGCTTATTCTGTTCAGAGAAATCAGTGTGGTATGCACTGTCAAACTGTTCTACACTGAATGTTTCCACTCTTTCCCACCACTGAGAACCCCCTCCCTCCCCACCTGAAATGTTTAAATGTTTTATTCAAGACGCCAATCTGTCATGTCATTCCTAAGTATTTTTTCTAAGTCACTATTTCTAAAGTTTTTAAAGTTGAAATCTTAAAGTAAATTTCTGAAGCAATCATTTATACATGAAGCAATTGAAATTGCCATAGAAATGAGGAGAGCTACAACTATACGCCCATGAGTTAATTTATGAAGTAACCACTGAAGAGAAGGCATCATATACTTTTCAGATTTCCATTTCAAAGTGATACTTACTCTCCGCATAACCAGAAAGCATCAGGATACCTGTTTACCTAAGAGCACAATGTAGGACGAGCACGTGCCTCTGATACTGATCATATTGCCTGAGAAACTGATCAGCTACACAGTTACTGCATTCTATTCGTGCCAAGAATGTTAAATAGATTTAGATTTACTATACGTTCCTGTGTGCTTCATAGGCCAAATCATGTCTTTTACAGGCCAACTAAGAGAAAGAGTTTCTAGGGTGGAAAAACAATGCTTTGAGTACTTACTGATCAAAGGAAGGCAATTGAAAATACATCTCACAGTCATGAAAAAAAAAAAAAAAAAAAAAAAAAACAGGCAACCAAAACCTAAACTAAAAGTCTCCCAAACTATTTTTCCACATTTATATCTCATTTGCTTCATTGTGTAAGTTCCTTCAACATACCAATCCGCAACACAAACTCTATAAAGCATATGAAGGAAGTAACCACACTTTCAAGCCCAACTGATAGTCAAACAAGATTCAAAAGACATTCTAGAACTGGAAGGGCTGAGGATTTTCTGTGTCTGCTAAATGTTTTACTTTATGCAATGTAACAGCAGATCCTCTACACTCCAGAACTGCAAACAGTTTAGTACGCCCACAAACTGAGGTGTGCAATAGGAAAGACCTCAACCTGCAGTTTTTCCACATAAAAACACTGCTAAGATAGGTGCATTCAAGCTTTTGAATTCAAAGAGCCTGCATAGAAAGGATTGTGCATGTTACAACAGTTTGTCTTCTTCCCACATCCTCAGCTTCAATTGTGCTATGAAATAGATTTGGGGGGTTATAAGTTTTTAAACTATTAAAGTGATACTAGTATTAACATTTCCTTTAAGATGTAGCAAATGAACAGTGCACAACATATTTATTTATTCATCTATTTTGTTATGAAACTTCTTAAAGTTATAGAAAAGAAATGTTGAAAATATTACCTGCAAAAAATAATTTTAATAGATTATTTGTCATAACTTCAAGTACAAAAACTGACAAGGTACAAAAAACAAAACAAAAAACACACAGGTCACACAACTTACAGAGATAGGACTTTTCCCAGCCTTTTCTTTCTCTTTTCCAACTTTTGCAGAATCCCATTTTTCTGCACTGATGTCAGCTTCATTCCATTCTGGCCAAATGGGAAATCTTGAAGCACCTACGTGGTAGATTGGTACACTGGAAAACAACCAGATGCATGAACAAAATTCTGCTGTGCAAAGATTGTTAACAAACAAAGCATTCACTTTTTTACTATAATGAAATAATAAAAATGTAGTGTTAGTAACTGCAGTAACTTTTTGTCACTAAGATAAGCAAGATTATAAAATTGCCCGATTTTAGAGGTTGTGAACCAACTAAAATATTTCAAATGAGGAATCCTGCCTTAAGTTAATGGGACAGATGAAGCACAAAATGAGAATCCTGTTGACTGATTTCCTCCTTCTTTCCTGCTGCTTCAATCCACAATTCTCCTTTCTTTTCTATGCAAATCCCAATTTATGGGATTCACAGCTTGAGCAAGAAATGATGCACAGTGCTGTTGCTTGCCACCAGCAGGATGAAGCCCAGACAGTCCCTGAGCAGCCCCACTGGCCAACTCCATCTGGTTTTACTGTTGATCACGATGTCTTATGGTACAAGACATCCCTTTGGTCAGGTGTGGTCAGTTGGTTCTGCCCACTGTCAGCTCCATGTGCACACCCAACCTCCTAACTGGCATGGCAGTGGGAGAAGCAGAAAAGACCTTGACTCAGTATTTAAATAGCATTTTCTCTCTAGCTTCTTCTCCCTGGGCTTCTTTGACCTTAGATAATAGTAGTTTTGTGACTCAGAAAAATAATTGATGCTTTATGTAGGTCTTCTACAATATATTAGTTCATCACTCTTTCTACTTCTTACTCTCCTCACACATTTTCCATTTATAAATTAGCTTATAAATTTAGAAACAAAATACTCTTTTCCTAACCTCCTCCTGCGAAAGTCATGTCACTTATCATCTTGTTGATGATATCACATTCACTAATGGAAAAAAAAAAAAAATGGAGAGGAAAGAAAAGAAAAAAATGCCACTATTATAATCAATAATCAATATCTCCATTGCATCAAGTATTTGGTTTCAGCTGCCCCAGTGATATAATCAAAAATGTAGATACTCAGTGACAGGCAACAGTTCAGAGCACGGTGGAATATCGAAGTATAAATGTGCAAAGTAATGAGTAGTATAGAAAAAAGTGAGCATGCCACTCTGGATCTCAGTTCCTTTCCATCTGAGCTCTGTGTGAAAAACAGAGGAAGCTGAGGATCTCTTTTTAAAATATTTCTTTCATGTAATCATACCTGATTCTAAGAAGCAACGTGAAGTCATGTTTCCCCAGCTACTTGTACATCACCCAAGAAATTACGAAACTAGTTACTTCTCTGAGTTTATTTCTTGCAGTGTTTCTTCTTGCGAAGACAAACCTGATCTTAGATTCAGCCACAGGAATACTGGGAAGATTGCAAAACATCTTTCCAATACTTCTAAAAAACATGACATGAGCTTTGTTCCTCTCTTTGGCATTTCTACCATGTTGGCTTCCATAAAATAATTTTGTGCCTTCTGTATGGCACCTGAGTAATTAACTAAAAATCAAAAATCTCTATGTCAAAGCACCTCAATTCTGTGAATTTAGGTCAATCCATTTGCAAAGTACTTAGCAAGCTTTGATAAGAACACCAGGAAAGCCCATTTCTTCAGTGCTGTTACACAGATCTCTCAGAAAAAGATAAAGACAGCTCTGCTTAAGTAGATGAATAACCTGTGGCAAACAGAATCTAACAGGTTATTTCAGGAATGTTTTCCAGTGCCAAAGCACAGCTATTACTATTTTTTTCTTTCTGCTATACTGTTCTCCTGCATAAAGATGTTTCCTGCAAGATTGCTCTGAGTTACAGAGAAAAACAAACAAAAAACCCTATAAATCTAAGACCAACAGGGAGTACAGCATTTATTGTGACATTGCCACTGATAAATTACTGAATATTTTCTTGTGCGTGAGTCTATGAAATTTGAAGGCTACAGATTGCAGCAGACTGAGCTCTCAAGGAGTTCATTGTTTTAATTAGAATTAACAACAAAAACCACTATGAATACATATTCTTCTAATTAAAATGTAACCTAATCACAAATTCAACATATTGGTTTGCTTCTATGCTATTTTAATAAGTTTATCATACTTACTTTGGAAAGAATGCATTTTTCTATCACAAAGCATGAAACTACGCAAAGTTATAGGTAGAAGATAAAGAATTGCATTAAGAAATTGACTACACAAATAAAAATTAGGCAAAGATCCATTATACAGAGTATACACTGAAATATTTCAAACAATAGAATATTTCAAGCAAGCTCTCCATCTTCTTGGACAGAAAATATTAACTCAGAAAATTCTAGGTGTATTTCACTGCACTTCTGAGAATAGTAAAAATACTGGCTACAGAAGTGAGAGTTATTCACAAATACAATAAGATACACAATAAAAGACAATAAATGGAAAGTGGATGCTTTATGCTCTATCACAACAACACATTCTCCAGAAATACCTCTATTTTTGGTTGGATTACAATTTCATATTAATGAAGTAAGGGTATTCAGATGCACACTGATGCAATGAATAACTTCTCAAGAACATTCATAAGCCAAGCAAATTTCACCCAAATTGAACCTAAGACCATGATGCACGCAGACTGCTCTGAAAGTAATGCCTCCTATATATTTCCATGGAAACTACAATGGATACAAAGAGATATAACACTATTACATAGGCAAACTCTCACCTACACAACATTATTTTTCAACACCATTAGCAATGCATTTTTTTTCTAGCAATGAACAAGAGTCTGCATGCCATTCTCATTAAAATGTGCACCAGCAGAGGTGGCCCACTACTGCCACTGCCGAAATGCACCACTAACCATCTCACTGCGCACGCTGTTTGGTCTCCAGAAATTTTCAGCAAGCTTTGATGAACGTCAGTGGGTGCCATTATTTCCACGTGGAGGAATTCAGTGACACACCTTTGCTTCATATGCACTTCCATGTCAGATGTCATTGTGTCAGACTGCCCCTCTGCTGCCATCTGTCGCACAGCAACAACATGTAATCAAACATCGGTGGGAAGGTTCAACCTCTACTGCCACACCACCAACATTTCCCTCTGATGTTGTAAGCCAGTAAAAAAAAAAAAGTAGACTGCATTACTTCTGGAGTAGCCCTTGTATTTACCCAGTAACGTTTCTATGTCTAGGTAAAGTAAGCAAGTGCATGGTGGTGTGCTTTGCTCTTTGTTTCAGATAGTTAAAATTCAATTTACAGAGACATTTCTGCTCATTGGCTCGGCAATGCAAAGTCAAGCCCACTACAAATTTACATTGCTTCTAAGTTATTCGAGAGAACAAGAAGCTCCTTGTCACATTGGTTAGTCAATAATAAAACAAGCCCCTCCAAAAGGCTCTGGACAGCCATTCAAAACAAAAGAATTCTGTCCATCTTAGGAGTGATTGCAATTAACAGAATACTAAATGAGATTATGATCTCAAAACACCTATTCCTCAGAATAATCAGGAAACTAGCTGCACATTGGAAATGAACAGCTGTTACAGCCCAAGATAAACTACAGCTCAAACATTATTTGTTATAACCATAACCTCAAAACTATTTTTAATGGCAGCCCAATTCCAACAAATATGGTAGAATTAACCCTTAAATAGATATGACTAATCCAAAAAAAAGCAAATGTAGAGCACTGGAAATAAACTGGACTAGTACCCTGTCTTAGTTTCAGCTGGGACAGAATTGCTTTCTCTTCACAGTGCCTGGTTTGAAGCTATGCTTTGGTTTTAGGGACAAAACAATGTTGATAACACACCTATGTTTATCATTGCCGCTAAACAGCGCCACACAGAGCCAAGGACATTCTCAGCAAAGGGCCCAAACAGCTGGGAGAAAACAGAATTCACATATATATTTTTGCCTTTTCCTTTTCTCTAACTTAGTATATACTTTTATCACAGCCCACATGTTCTACTTTGTCTTTTTTTATTCTCACTGCCATCTCACTGGAAAGGGGTGCGAGTGAGCAAATGAATGTGTGGTGCTGAGTCACCGCTGGGTTACATCACAGTATATCCTCAGCACCTTTTGTCTGAAATTTTAGCCACGCTTTAAGCCTCTAGCAGAACATAATTAGAAATCACCAAGCCATATTCATCCCTGCGGGATCAAGTACACTTTCATCAAGTTTGTGGATAACACCAAGCTGAGTGAGGCAGCTGGTATGACAGAAGAAATGGATACCATCTGGAGGGACCAAGACAAGCTTGAAAACTGGGTCCATGTGAACTTAATGAGATCAACAAGGCCAAACGCAAGGTGTTACACTTGGGTCAGGACAAACCCAGATAAGTGTACAGGATTTGAGAAGAAGAACTTGAGAGCAGCCCTGCTGTAGATTATCTGGAGGTCCAGATAGACAAAAAGTTGGACATGAGCCAGCTCTTGCAGCCTGGAAGGCCAACAGTGTTCCAGGCTGCATCAAAAGAGGGGTGGCCAGCATTGCTGCTCCCATGAGGTTCCACCTGGATTACTGCACCTGGGCCTGGAGCCTCCAGCACAAGAAGCATACATAGTTGTTGGAATGAATCTAAAGAAGGGCCACAAATAAGATCAGACGGCTGGAGCAGTTCTCCTGGGAAGAAAGGCTTTTCAGCTTGGAGAAGAACAATCTCTGGGAGATCTCATTGTGGCCTTCCAGTACTTGAAGGGAGCTTACAAACAGGACTTTTTACATAGTCTGATAGTGACAGAAGAGGGATGAATGGTTTTAAGCTAAAATAGGGAAGACTGTGGGTTACAGATAACTGGAACAGGCTCCCTAGGGAGACTACAGAGTCTCTTTCTCTGGAGATATTCCAAACCCATCGGGACACTTTCCTGAGCAACCTACAGTAGGGAACCTGCTTAGTAGGGGGGATGGAACTGATCCAATGGGTCCCTTCCAACCTGTACAGTTCTGTGATCAGATTTTAGGAAGAAATTTTTCTGCTCACAGGGTGGTGAGGCGCTAGAACAGGATGCACAGAGAAGGTGTAGATGCCCCACCCCTGGAGGTGCTCAAGACTAGGTTGGATGTTGGATGGGACCCTGGGCAGCTTCATGTGGTGGGTGGCCATCCTGCCCATGGCAGGTGCGTTGAAACTGGGTGATTTTTAAGGTCCCTTCCAACTCAGGCCTTTCTATGGTTCTAGAATTACGTGATCTCTGACTGAGGCTCATGCTAGGTCAAAAGCATGCATAAACATGTACAAACAAATTTAAACAGTTTAAACTACTATAACAATCTCCTCTCACCACAAAATGTGTCACAATGCTACAAAAATGGAGTACTGAGAATAAGTGTAAACAATAGCCTGATATCATCTCAAGCAATACAAAAAACTGAAAACCTCTAGGAGAGCATAAAGGCACATGAAATATATTTCTCAAATACTTTGACAGTCTCCAATCATTTTTAGTTCAGACACTTTCTGAACTAGTTATGGTTGCAATGCATTCAATAATCTTTAGTATATGTAATTTTCATAGACTCATTCCATGCAGATTTTTAGCACGTATTACATTTATATTAACCAGCAGTAGCGTTGCAATGCAACACTAAAAGCAGCTTCAAGTTCAATCTTCATGTAGTTATCCACAGGACAGTTCTTCCCATTCTTAAGCTTCAGTTAATCTAGTGGAGCCCTCTCCCCAAACCAAAATAAAGAAATAAAAAAAAAATTTTTTTTTTTTTTTTAAATAATCTGTTCAGACTATATTCTCTGAACTACTGCTGCAATTTAAATCTTACGGATACTTACCTGAGGAACATATTCTGGCAATGGATAAAATTGCAGCACTGTGCTTTTGCTGACTTTTTATCCTAGGCCTTCAGGAACTCAAATATGAATTAGCAGTAGAGCTATTTTTCGTGTTCTTACTGTCTCAACCTTCAATCTTAATAGAAAATATGAGGCAATCCCAGGCTTTGGTGCAGTAATCCATTGCACAACATCAGTGCAGCTACCTGCTACTTAAGGCAGTCAGGCACATAGCTAAACAAGAATAATTTCTTCCAGCCAATCTGGGACCCAGCTGGTCCCAACAGGTGCTGAAGAACCCACTGGCAGTTAATAATGCTTTTGGCTGCTGCTCTACCTAATAAAATTTCTAATGCCACTGTGAGCTTTGTCTGCACACTGGGAAATCATGCCTGTGCTACAATTATCCCTAACCTACTCCCCTATCTTGGCACTGATCATTTACTACTCACTTTTGTCTCTGATAACCCAAACCCTAATTCAGATTTTTCTTTGTTCTGGCAGATGCTGATGACTCAGGATTAATTCAGAAAATTGGGCTCAATGGCATAAGAGTTTCATCAAATTCATTTACAAAGCATTTTAATTCATTATCATTGTTACAAGCCAGAATCTTCAGTGCTGACAAAGACATCAATCCACTGAATCACTATAGCTGTTGAAACCTGGGAAAGATCAGATTCTCAGTAGCCTCTAATGATGCAATTAAGAAAATCTTTAATGACAGCTGTTCTTTTCAGCTCTTCAGCCTGTCATCTCTAAATCTGCCTAGGTCCTGAAGAGAACTGTTACCTAATTAGAGAGCAGTAATGAAGGGATGCCCAATGGAGCATCCTGAGAATAGACTTAAGTGAAGTCTGGCTTATTGAGTATAAAGGAAACTTCATATCTTCTCCCTATGCTTCCAAGCTCCCCTTCCAGCACCCAAAACAAAAAGTGCCAACAATATGAATTGATTTTCCACAGTACATACTGTGCTGACTACTGCAAGCATTTATGGGGAAAAAAAAAATAAGAAATCTGATCTCACTAGAAATCCATTTAAGTAATTTTAAGATAATCAAAATTCTTTGTCCAGATATGTGTACACACTACTCTCAGAGGGCTTCTGCACTAATTTATCTGTAAAAGTTATAATAATAACACTATCATTCCTGGCAGTAACCACTGACAGTTCTTAGCAATTTTAAAAACATTATTTTCAAAAACTATTAACCTTTCTTTTTTCATACTACTGACAGTTCTGTTCAATATTTCAGTGATTTGTAGACACATGAAAATAAACTCAATTTGCTAGAAGGAAGACAATATTTCAGAAAAGACAAAATACTTTTGACATTTTTATGCCTGCAACTGCAAGATGTGCTCAGAAATAAAACAGAGATCCTAGGGGAAAACCTACCTCACAATTACAAAGAACAGTGAACTTACGGGACAACATTCTCTCAGGCAGCATGTGGTCTTCCATTTCTTTGTCTGATACATGGATAGCAACATTCCTGAAGTTCTCATAGATAGACTTATGTAAAATTTGTACGCTAGAAGGTGTACAGAACTGTGCTGAACAAGGTTAGTAACAGAAGCCACATGAACAGATGTCAAGGAAATAGCTATTAAGCAACTGCCATATGTCCAACTGTAGAAGCTCCAATCCCATAGTATATGCAAAGAAATATTTTCTTTTAACCCTCCCAGCCCACTAAAAAGACTTGGTAACCTGCTGTTAATAAAATATTCACAATCATTACTACCACTAACCTACCGTTAGCAGAAAATCATTATCTAAGGGAACAGATCAATCCCTCCATCACAGGGATTGCAAACAAAGTGAATATTAAGTCATAGAGTTACCCAGAACAGTTGTATTATCCCTGTGTTCAGCAACTTTTACCAAATAATACTATTTACCAAAATAATAATAGCACTAAATCATTTTGTCTCGGGGCGAATTGCTGCAGAATCAGCTCAGTACTCTAGTGATTTTTTTTTTTTTTATTAAACAACAGTGACACAGATCTACAGCATATCTGTACTGTAACACAGATATTCTTTACTGCACACAATCTACTTCCACGTGGAGATCCATCATGGATCTGTCAACCTGTCTGCTATCAGTAGCATTCCCATAATTCTGGCATCTCGCATGCACAAATCCTGTGGCAAAGGGGAAAGCATTCTAGAAGCAAAGTGAATACTGACAAATGAAATGTTGCTTCCATTTTGCACAAATCACAGTCTACAGTTCTATGTTTTGACCAAACGCTGATCCAAATAAAAAGCTCTCTGTTAACAGACTGCAGTTCAAAATGCACATCTGCCTGCTTGCCTGATATCTCCATGGGAATTTTGTGGCTTACAGCAGGGCACCGCAAACTAGGGTTTGCAAACAATGTAGAAAGTACAAGAAGTTGAGCACTGCATGTATGTGCCTTATAAATATATAAATAAGCTATTCTGAGGGAAGTGTACTCAAAGTTATTTGCGAATAGTGATGTGCAACCAAAAAAGTTTGGAGACCATTAGGTTACAACATGACTACAGGAGAAAAAGAGATTCCGATATTTCAGCCATTTCAAGCTGACTGAGAATGCCAAAATATCTTTTTGTTGGTGGGCTTGGGGTACAAATTCCCATCTGGGAAACAGAGGATCTTGTTACAAAAACAAGAAGAAAGGCTATTCAAGGTATCTTAAGCATTCTCAGGTAAACTTTAAGCCCTGCTGTGTTCAACTGCCAACTTCTACTGATTTTAACAAGACCAGACCCTCACTTGCCTCTTTGAATAGAATACAAAGATATTTTCAACAATGTGAAGACAGCATACAGCCTGTAATCAGCTTAAAATGCACTTACAGTTTACAGAGCATGCAAAACAATAGTATTAGAAGTAAAGCAAGGCTAGACTTCAGGCTTAATTTTCAAATGTTTCATAGCAGTAGAATCTGTGATTTCACAAGTAAATGAGGCTACTTTTCTTGTAAAACGTTTAAGACAAAAAGTTTAGGCCAAAATTTAGAACAACTTTTATTACTAGCTTTTCTTGACTCATTACCTATAGCTCAAGAGATCCTGAAGAAAAATTTTCCCAACGTCACAAACAAGATTTATTTTGTAGTTTACTGTTGGTATAATCAATGGATATCAAGATATTACAATCACAATATAAACAAGAAATTTAGGCAAAGTGGACTACGATAACAAAAGAAAATAAATGGAAGGGTTACCCTTAGTTGGGCTCACCACAAAACACCAGAACGAGGGATCTCCAGACGAGATCCTTCCCCATTGGCAGCCAGCTCTTAAATAGGTCTAGGAGCCCAATTGCCTTCACCTGTGCTCCTCTGGCTGACTCATGGCTCGCCTCAGGTGATCAATCAGAGGTTCAGGCCGTGACTCAGTAGTTCCCATACACCACTCTTGGCCAGACACGTAGTGCCCTAAAACAATGCTTTATCATCCATCCATCCAAAAGGCCTGACTGATATTTCAGGATGATAAAAAATGAGCAGGGATAGGTTAGTCAGGAAACCAATACTAGAACTTCTATAACATCCAAAATTTTAGTGCCAAGACTTGCTCTAGCTGGAAAGAGCACAACAGCAGAGCAAATAAGCACAATAAAACATGATATAGTTTAAACTGAAATTACAGGCTTGATGAAAAAAACTTAATACAAGCTATATATTCTGTGTTGTAAAGGTTCCACATTACAATCAAGCAATTCTAACTTCTTCTATAGTCTACTAATTCATCACTAAACAACCACTAGGACATGTTCAAGCTACTCCTCCCTGTGTAAAACAGTCCCAGTGAAATGAGTATATACTCCTGTACTAACACTAAATTAACACTGGCAAGACATCAGCTCCATTACAATTACCTGATAATTGCAGAGTGAGATGAAGCATGTCTATTGCCTATTAGGTCCAACAAGAGATTTTAAATATTTTGTGAACATTTCTCCTATTCACACTTCAAAGGTGTTTCTATAAAACTTAATGCCATTCAACCCAATTGTAATCAGATATTCTCTAGTCTCAACCTGACAAAGGGAAAAGGATTTTGTAATCTCATTGTGGTCTTGTTTAATAAAGTCTTACACAACAGTGTAATAAAGAAAAATAGATACTGTTCTAGATATTCTAATACAAATAAATCATTTCATATGACTGATTCTTTTACCAGTTATTTTGTATGAATGAGAATTAATCATTTTACTATACAAATATTACATATATTTATAACCTCAAAGAAAAAAATATCTTACTGTAAATATGGTTATTAGGGGACAAAATATTTTGGATGACAGCCAATCAGTTTCACACACAGTGCAAGGCAGGAAAACACTACTTTTGCTGTCTGTGCTAGGAAATAGAACTGTTCTTGCCAGCTTAGATACTGACTGATTTTTTTTTAATATTCTGTTAGTAGCAGTAAATACAAAGGGCTGCATGGCTGTAGCTAAACTAAGAAAATAAAAAAGAGTTACTAAGCAAAGGGATGCAGAGTGGAAAAGGGGAGAATTAGAGATACTGGCTGACCACCACAACAGAAAGGATATCAAAATGTGAATGTGAAATGTGAAACATGAGTATGAACATGCAAAACAAAATATTCTGTTGAAAAGGCTGGGTGGATGGATATGAAATAAGAAGAAAGGGGCATCTGAAGGCTGATTTCAAGGGAGAAATAAGTGATATGTCTGATACCTTTGTTTATGGCAGTAAAGGGAAGAAAAGGGCATAAGCACATAAATATCGGTGCCACAAACACCTTTTGTCTGATTCCTGACAGCACTGTGCATGAACAAAGTTTTTACTGAGAAGGTTTCAAAAACCATAGAAATAAGATAATAGATCAAAAGTGAAAGTAGTGAAAGAAATGTTACACTTTCCACTTACTTAGTGAAACTGACGCGCTGCGTCATTAGCCATTTTGCCCTGAAAAGTTCAGCTTAATTCCTCTAGTCAGTATCGTGTATGAAGGTCGTGTATTTTCTGAATTATTTTCCAGATTCAAAGTTCTCAAGTTTTTTAAACCCCAACAACTCTTTCAGTGAAAACTCTCTTCTGTCTGCTTGCTACCTTAACTCCAATGCTTCATATGCATCCATTGAATGCACCTGGAGGCCAATGATCTTCAAGGTCGCTTCCAGCGCAAATCATTTTGTGATGCTATGATTCACAGTATGAGCTGTGACCAACATTCTATCCCTCATGTACAGTACGACATGTCACAGTGAGAGCACCTGCACATTACGTGCACTCTGTGGTCTCAGAGTGGCCTTCTCAAGGTCCAAGAACATTCTGACATTCCAGGATTCCATTACCTAATAGGTACGTGAAAAGTATCATAGGAGGAAGGAAGTACAACTTCCACATGAAGCAGTGGGCACAATCCGGAACACAGGAGGCTCCATCTGACCATCAGGCAGCACTTAAGCTCTGTGCAGGTGACAGAGCACTGGACATGCTGCCCAGAGAGGCTTGGAGTCTCCTCCTTGGTGATCTCCAAACCCCGCCTAGACATGGCACCCTGTTCTGGATGTCCCTGCTTGAGTAGGGGTTGGACCAGATGGATCCAAACTCAGCCCATCTACAGCTCTGTGCTAAACCTGAACATCCAGCTTAAAGAATGAAAACAAACAAACAAAAACAAACCAACCCCTACCTTGCCTATAGACCCTACTTTGACTAAGCACCCACTCAAGCAAGCAAACTTTCTCCGCACCGGCTGTTTTCACGCCTGGGATCGCAAACAATCGCCTCCTCCATATCCGCACCTCTGTCTCCGCGCGAGCCGGGGCTGAACTCGGGGAGGGGCGGGCGGCTCACGGGGACGCGCTGGCGGCAGCTCCCCCTTCCCCGGGGCCGTTACCGCCCGCCGAGATCCCGCGTTCCCTCCTGCGGCTCTTACTCTTTGGCGGAGACACCCAGGATCCCGGAGCTACTGCGACTCCCGAGCTCCTTCTTCTTGCCGCTCTTAGAGGCCATCCCGGCAGCGTCCGCCGCGTTGCCGGGCGATCTGACGCGCCGCAGGTAGCGGCTCAAGCTCCGCCCCGCGGCCCAGGGCCCCTTGGGCCAGCCCACGCCACGCATGGCGCTGCTATTCTACAATCGGGACGGGGAGAAGCGGGCGACGGCGCTGCCGGCCGGGAGCTGTTGCCTCTCCGCGCGCGGCCTCGTCGCGTCCGAGGTGCAGCAGGGCGGGAGTGCAGAGGGTCACGCGGCTCCCTCCGCGCGCCGCGCCCGGCCGGAAGGGGTCTGCGAGCATCGTGGTTCAGGGGCAGAGGTGGGGGCAAATCCTGCCGTGTAAGAGAGGGGCAGAAGCCATCTCAAAGGATGCGGGTATTTTGCCGGGTATATTACCCTTAAGAAGGGTACGGCTGCAGCCGAAGAAAAAAGACTTGAAAATGAAACGGTATTTATAGTTATTTGTTGTAAAACGTGGTAACCTAAACTCCTGTATAAAGCACCTCTGTAGAAAAAGACTGATTGAATACTTTTTTCCTGAATCTTTCCAAAGACAATAGTTTGGAAAAAAAGAAAGTCTGAAGACATGTTGGAGAGGGTCCAGAATAGGGCCATGAAGACGATCAGGGGGCTGGAACACCTCCCCTATGAAGACAGGCTGAGAGAGAAAAGAAGGCTGCAGGGTGACCTCATTGCAGCGCTTCAGTACCTAAAGGGAGCCTACAAACAGGAGGGGAGTCAACTCTTTGAAAGGGTAGATAACAGCAGGACAAGGGGAAATGGTTTTAAGTTGAGGGAGGGAAGATTTAGGTTGGATGTCAGGGGGAAGTTCTTTACAGAGAGAGTGGTGAGGAACAGCTGCCCAGAGAGGTTGTGGATGCCCCACCCCTGGAAGTGTTCAAGGCCAGATTGGATGGGGCCCTGGGCAGCCTGGTCTAGTAATAAATGGGGAGGTTGGTGGCCCTGCATGTGGCAGGGGATTGGACATTCATGATCCCTGAGATCCCTTCCAACCCTGGCTGTTCTGTGATTCTGTTTACATAGAATCATTAAGTTTGGAAAAAAACCCTAAAACTCATCTAGTCCAACTGCCAACCCATCCCCACCATGTCCCTCAGTGCCACATTGCCCCTTTTCTTGAACACTTCCAGGAACAGTGGCTCCAGCACCTGCCTGGGCAGCCCATACCAATGATTTATCATTCTGGAAAAGAGATTTTTCCTAATAGTCAACCTGAACCTCCTCTGGCGCATCTTGAGCCCATTCCCTTTGATCCTATCAGGGGAAAAGAGGCCAAGTCCTATCTTGCTACAGTCTCTTTTCAGGCAGTCATAGAGAACAGTAGAGTCTCCCCTGAGCTTCCCTTTTCTCCTGACTGATCAGCCCTACTTCTCTCAGCCACTCCCTGTAACAGCTGCACTCCAGACCCTTCATTGCCCTTCTCTGGGCACAATCCCAGGCCTAAATGTCTTTTTTTGGAGTGAGGGGCACAAAGCTGAACACAGTACTTAAGGTGCAGCCTTAGCACTGTCACATGAAAAAAAGTGCATTTTGTTATGAATATTATAATCACACGAATAAGTTTCTGTTGAACAAATAAAGAGCAAGAGTAACCAGTACTTGCTTCAAACAGAGACATTTTTGGTCCACTACATACTAGTACATAAAAAGCACAAAGACAAGAAACCAACCAACCAAGTAGTTCTGTACTTTGTAGGGCAGTCAGAGATGGAATGTACAAGCATTTACCCTTCTCATATCAGAATAGAAGAGATAAGCTCCTGACAGGAAGCCTATGATTCCTAGAGTGAATAGAGTTTCACCAAAGTCAACTGCTTTAGGATTCAGCAGACACTCACCTCATCTAACTAAGGTGACTTATTCAGATGCAGTCCAGAGATTACATTATTCCTAACAACTCATTTCTAAATAACTCAACCTTATTGCCATTCTCCAGTCTGCACTGCATAATGAAAAATCCTCCATAGAACATATATCTATTCATTTAGTTTTATTCAAGCTAAGCCTTCCTGAAATATAAAAATCAATGAAAATTTGTCAAATCATGAAGGGCACGAGTCTCAAAAGACAAGGCAAAATACGTAATGCTGCTACACCTAGAGACTTTAGAGAAATACAGA